TGCTAATATAAAGATATTCAATTCTTTCTTTTTCCCTACCTCCCATCCTTTCTTTTTTGCTGTATTAGCTTTTGTAATATTTTATGTCATAATAATTAGGCTCAATGACTCACAGAATAATAAACTTAACAAGTAAAAAGCAAATGGATCCTAGTTTCATGTGAAGATAGAGCATGACTATAAGGAATAATTGAATGGAAAAATGACCACTTCACCATTATACAGAACACTTTAAATTAATCATACATTATTAAACATCTACTACTTACAACATTCTTAACAATCAGTTTCACCAAAATCTAAAGCAAAGCCTCATGAAGATATATTTACAACAATACTGTTACTCATGTAGGCTTTTCATTTTTTCTTTCTTTTTTTTTTTCTCTTAAAATGTTAACTCCCAAATATGATGGAGATCTTGTAGTTTTCTCTGTGTCTGGCTTATTTTAATCATCATGATGTCCAATGATGTCCTTCAGTTTCACCATCTTAATGCATGTGGTAGATTTCATTTTTTGTTGCTGAATAATATCACTATTGAGAATTTCTCCACATTTTCTTTATCCATTCATCTGATGATGGACACTTGGGCTGATTCTAAATTTTGACTATTCTGAACAGTGCTGTTACAACATGTTGTGCAGGTATCTTTTTGATATAAAATTTCTATGTCTTTTAGTCATATATGCAGTAATGGGATTGCTGGATCACTGACAACAGTTTTTAGAGAAATCTTTATATTGTTTTCAAGAGTACTTAAGTGTTCCCTTTGTCCACATCCTTGCCAGCATTTGTTACTCTCTATTGGATTTTAGCCATTCCCACTTGAGTATTGTCACATCTCGTTGCAGTTTTGAAGTGCATTTGATTCCCTGATGGCTATCATATTAAGCATGTTTCATATATTTCTTGGCCATTTGTATCTCTACTGAGGACTGCCTGTTGAAGTCCTTTACCCATTTCCTAACTAGGTTTTTTTTCTTACTGAATTTTGAAATTTGATGGTATTTTCTGAATATTAATCTTGTGTTACTAGATAGTTAGCAAATATTTCCTCCAGTCTATCAATGACTTTCTTTACTGTGACGAAGCAGAGGAATTTGGAGTATTTCCCCTATATTTTCTTTCACTAACTTTTTAGTCTTAGTTCTAAAATTTAGATCTTGACTGTCGTGAGTAGACTTTCGTGTATGTTAAGAGGTAGGGATCCAATTTCATTCTACATATATACATCCAATTTTCCCAACAGCACTTATTAGGAGATTATTATAATTATTCTCTATATTCAAAAGTTAATTGGTTGTAAGCTAGTAAATTGATCTCTACTCTGTTTCATTGATCTATGTACCAGTTTTTATGCCAATAACACACTGTTTTACTCACCGTGGCTTTGTTTTGTACTATGCTTTGAAATCACGTATTGTGGTTCCTCCTGCTCTATTTTTCTAGCTCAGGATGGGTCTGGCTATTCTATCACTTTTTTGTGATTCCATATGAATTTTAGAATCCTTTTCTAACTTGGTAAATGATGTTATCGGTATTTCGGTAATGATTGAGTGGAGTGCATAGCTTACTTTAATGTTATTGATTCTTTCAACTGTGAGCAAAGAATATCTTCATTTTGGAGTTGAGAGCCTGATGATTTTTTAATCAATGTTAGATGATTTTAGAAAAAGTTCTCTTTATTAGTTGGATTTAGTTCTAAATGCTTAATTATTTTGTGTGTCTGTTATGACTGGGATTTTCTTCTTTATTTCTCCTTCATGGAGCTCATGATTGATACATTAAAAAGCTACTGGTTTTTGGATGTTTATTTTGTAAACTAAAACAGTTCTCAATGGTTTATCATTCTAAGAGTTGCTTGGGTGAAATAGTAAGGCTTTTCATGTACAGCCTCATGTTATCTGCAAACATGGATAATTGGATCATTTAAGTTCCGCTTTTACAATTGTTATTCCCTTGGAAATATTTCTATCTCAATGGCTCTTACTAAAACTTCCAATGCTGTATTGAGTAAGATTGGTGACATGGCAACCCCAGTCCTGCTTCAGATTGGTGAGGAAATACTTTCAACATTTGTCCATTGGGTATGATATTAACTGGTTGCAGTCTATTTTTAAGTAGTTTTTGATATGTGCTTTGTGGAGGAATTGTTATTTTTCCAACCATTAAAAAAGAGTTACCTCACCAAATGCTTTTTCTGCATCTGTTGATGTGACAATAACATTTTCCCCCTTCATTGTGTTGATGTAATTTTGTTTGTTGATGTACATGTTTTGAACACGTCACAATTTGGGGATACATTCTGCAATTGTGATATATCAGCTTTTGATTTTTTTTTAAAAAAAATTCAGTTTGGTAGTATTTTGTTAAGAATTGTTACAACTATCTTCATTAAGAATCTGGGTCCATAATATCCTTACATAATATGTCCTTGTTTTGTTTTAAAATCAAAGTGATGCTGGTATAATGAAAGAGGTTGGCAGAGTTGCTTCCTTTCCTGTAGTATGAAGTATTTTTAGCGAAATTGTAGCACAGTAGTAACACCATAACATCCTGGACTTTTTATTTTGAAAGACTTATTACTGTGTAATTTTTTTGTGTGTGCTTGGGTTTCAGATTACCTTTATCTTCTGGATTTAAGTATGTTAGGCTGGATGTTTCTAGTAATTCACCCATTTCTTTGAGGTTTTCGAGTTTGTTGGATATAGTTCTTTCTAGAGTTTTCTTATGAATTTCAGTGTTTCAGTGATGTTCATTGTATCTCATTTTTTCTGTTTATTTTACTTGTATGTTTTCCTCTCTGTTTTAGTTTGTTCATCTGGCTACAGTTTTATTTCTTTTGTTTGTCTTCTCAAAAAAAAAATCAAGTCTTTGTTGCTTCGTGGCTTTTTAAATTTTCATTCTTTTTTTTTCTTATTCTATGTGCTTTACTCTATCCTCTGTTGACTTCAGATTTAGTTTGTTCTAGTTTTTAAATTTTTGAGATACATCCTTAGATATTAATGTGTTTTTAATGCAAACATTTAAAACTACAAATCTCTCTCTAATTCTGCTTTTGTTGCATCCCACATAGATTTTGATATGCTGTGCTTTTATTTTCTCTTGTTTAAAGAAAATGAAACACACTCACAACTTCAAGGGCCGCCAAAGAGAATTTTCACCCAGTCACTGCCAAGATAGTAAACTCATTTATTTGTTTTACTTGGTCTGTGTGCCTGTAGGGGTCACTGTGCTCCCTTAAACTTTAATTTCCTCTGGTATGGATCAAAAAATCAAGCTAAGTGATATCCACTCTGTGTGTGTGTGTGTGTTTCCCAACTGCTGTATTTGTTTTATTCAGGGCTCTGGTATCATAGCATCACTAACATCGGTGCTACGTGATGAAAAAGAATTTCCAAATCCAAAGACATTTGATCCCAGACACTTTCTGGATAACAGTGGAAACTTAAAGAAGAGTGACTACTTCATGCCTTTCTCAACAGGTAATAGAAGTACAATTCTAAGGGTCCTTCAGGAGACAAGACATCTTTGGCAAGTTTTGCTCATGTGAACTATGGAATTAAAGAGAAAGAGTGAGAGGAGGCTCCAAAAAGGCATTTCAGCCATTTCACAAATGATCAGAAAACCAAGGAGTGCTGAGTCAGACTGAAGGCATAAACAGAAACTCCATATGGCTATTCAGCCAAGATTTTGGGCTCCAAACCCTTGGTCCATTCTGTGATGCATCCCCAGACACATTTACAGGGAGCTGGATTTGAAGCAGATAGATCCTAAGTGAACCAGTGCTTATAATGGACATAAGCACCTCAGGCAGCGGCGTAACTCATAACCCAGATAGGTTGTCCAATAAAAGTTGTCTAAGTTCTAGACAGGTGTAATTCTTACAGAAAGAGGTTAGAAGTAACCACACTTGTAAATTTAAATATCCCATTAAAATTAATTATCCCATTAATTATTCCAGTAAAATTAAGTATCCCATTCCGGGCCCAGCTTGATGGCCTAGCAGATGGAGTCCTCACCTTGAAAGTGCCAGGATCCCATATGGGTGCCAGTTCTATTCCCGGCAGCTTCCTGCTTGTGGCCTGGGAAAGCAGTCAAGGACGGTCCAAAGCCTTGGGACCCTGTACCTGCTTGGGAGACCTGGCTCCTGTCTTTGGATAGGCACAGCATCGACTGTTGCAGTCGCTTGTGGAGTGAATCATTGGAGAGAAGCTCTTTCTCTCTGTCTCTCCTCCTCCTCTCTCTATATATATCTGACTTTGCAATAAAAAAATCTTTAAAAAATATATATCCCATCCCTTCAAATGATTTTCCTTGAATATTTAATGATGGAATTCATGTCAATGATTTAGTCACTTTATATTTCTGTTGTTATAATATTTATGATTTTTGGTAATTATTTAATACTGAGTCAATTATAATAAGAAGAGTACATCAAATATTACAATGCTTGTCATTATTTGGTAGAGTGCTCTTTTGTACAACACATCTTAAAAACAGATATATTATACCAATATGAGATGTATTAAACTAAGATGATTATATACTTTTTGATTATCAAATTATGCATTCTCAATGTGTCATTAGCATGAGGTTAATATTTTGAATAACATTCTGGCATCACAGTTTTGTTTCACTGAGTCTTAAATATGGATTCATATTGAAACCATTTGTTTGGATTAATTTCAAGCTGTCAAAACCTGGGCCTAGCCAGTAAAATAAAACCACAATTTCTAGATTAGTTGTTGAAAAGAAAGAGAATATGACAAAATGTTTACCTCTGCTATTGTAGACAAAGTCCACTCACGGGGTAGTATAAAACACATCCGATTGATTGATCTCTTGGCAAGTAAACAGGCACAGTCTGAATTTTCCCAGGAGTGTTACAAGAGCCTGTGTTTTCCAGCTCACAGTAATCTCAGCAAGAAGAGAAAGCTCCTGTTACAAGAGCCTGTGCTTTCCAGCTCACAGTAATCTCAGCAAGAAGAGAAGGCTCAATGGATCCAGCTGTGCTCCTGGTGTTGGCTCTCTCCTGTTTGCTTCTCCTTACCTTCTGGAAACAGAGCTCAGGCAGAGGAAAGCTGCCTCCTGGACCCACTCCTTTCCCGATCATTGGAAACATTCTCCAACTGGATGTGAAGGACGTCAGCAAATCCTTGACCAATGTAAGTAAACACTATGCTCCTTCTGTCACAAAATACAACTGCATGCTTACTTAAAATTTTCTGTCGCCATTCCCAGTCTTTCATTTCCAACAGTGGAGTAGGAAAACATGTTCTTCCTGGAGTGACGCAGAAGAATGCTAGCCTTTGTTTTACAACCCTTTCACTAAAGTTCAATTGTAAGAAAATGTTTGTGGTAGCAATTTCATTCAACAAACCACATCCTGTATTATCCATATGTGGTAAACAGACTACTCATGGAAACAATCTCTCTGTAGCACCAGTTAAACCTGATATCATATTATGGGTTCTGGATTAGTTCATGAAAGAAATGAGCGAAAGAAAGAATGAATAAATGAAAGAAAGAAGTGAACATTCAGTGCCCAGTTGGTGGTATCAGAATTCTTTAAGATTCTAGCAAAAGGCTGCTGGATGTGACCAAGATTGCTAGAGGATGGAAAAGATTTTCTTCATTGACACACTGTGCACTGTGTCCTGGTCCTGTCTCAATGGCGCTTGCTCTGTTTCTTCTTATTCTTTTCTTTAGATTGCTTTTGTTGTTTCAAAAGGCAGAGTGACACAGAGAGAGGGACAGACACACATAGAGATCACCCCATGGCACTTTGACTCTCCATGCAACATCAACAGCCAGGCCTGCCCCAGGCCAAAGCCAAGAGCCAGGAACTGTATTTGGATCTCCCAAGTGCATGCATTTTTTCATAATTTTTGTACTTTGTTTACTTTTATTTTTTTTTCTTTGATACATTTTTTTATAAGGAGAGGTTCATTCCTCACCCTGTCTGCTATCCCTCTATTTTTCTTCCCACTTACCTGCCCCATATTAGACTAGTAGTACTCTCTCTTAGTAGCAGTTAGGATTTTAATAATATGCTATTTTAATGTATCTTGACATAAATACCAACACATTAGAAAACCTTGCATTGGGTCATGCATGATAGCTTAGTGACTAAAATCCTTACCTTGCCTGTGCCGGTATCCCATATGGGCACTGGTTCTAATATTGGCAGCCCCACTTCCCATTCAGCTCCCTACTTGTGGCCTGGGAAAACAGTCAAGGACATCCCAAAGACTTGGGACCCAGCACCTGTGTGTGGGAAACCTGGAGGAGGCTCTGGGCTCCTGGGTTCTGATTGGCTCACTCTGGCCATTTTGCTCCTTGAGGAATGAGTCAATGAATGGAAGAAACTTCTCTCTGTCTCTACTCCCCACTGAATATCTGACTTTCTAATTAAAAAAAAACAAAACAACACCAAAAACCCCTAGCATTATAATATAGAGGTATATTTATAAGTGCCTTTGCAGTCCTGCCTTTATTAGGATTAGAGCTGCATAATACCTCTTTTCATTTTAAGATATATTTTTCTCTTTGAAAGTGAAGATGACAGAGAAAAGGGGAGAGACACAGAAAAAAAAGTATTTCTAGCTTGTTCTTTCTTTGCTAGTTTGACCAGTATATCCCCAAATGGACTGGCATTATGATTACTGGGATGATATTGAAACTGTGTTTTCTAGCGTTAATCACAGGCCTGCTGGGTCAGGATCTCCAGAGAAGGGCTGCCCATGTGACCCTGAGTCACCAGGGTATTGGTTTCAAGATGAATGTTTGTGTTGAAAACTTACTCAAGCTACAGAGATTGCATAAACCATTGAGTTTTATTTACTGTCACAGCAATCTGGGAGCAAATGTGAAGTTCTCAAGTTCACTTTCTCTACTCATAAAAAAGAAAAAGTAAACTTTCTGAGTGTGTTGTTGGAGAATGAACTGTAAATTGCAGTCAATGGGCCCGACTACTAGATCCCTTGTGAGTGACAGGTATAATAATCACCATCACATTTCAATATAAATAGCAGAGTTGGAATCCAAAACAGAATGAACACATAACATGCACAATGACACTATCTATCTGAATGTGGCTGACTAGGTGGACTATGATTTGTTTGCTGAAATCCATAACTCTTTTCTCAGTTTTCTAAAGTCTATGGCCCCGTGTTCACCCTGTATTTTGGCACAAAGCCCACTGTGGTGCTACATGGATATGAGGCAGTGAAGGAGGCCCTGATTGATCTTGGAGAAGACTTTGCTGGAAGAGGCAGGTTTCCTATACTGGAAAAAGTTAATAACGGACTTGGTAAGTGTGCCTATGTCTGTGTGTTAAGCAGTGGTCGGGGAGTGGGAGGGGTAGAATACAGGAAGTTGAGCAGCCCAGGCAGAACTTTGCCATCCACGTGGTTGCTATCTGTGAGTTTCTTCTACTTGATAAATGTCCCACCTAGTTGCTTTTTTTTCTGCAAGGAATAATTTTCAACAATACAAAGTCATGGAAGGAGATGCGGCGCTTCTCACTCATGACCCTGCGGAATTTTGGGATGGGGAAGAGGAGCATTGAGGACCGAGTTCAAGAGGAGGCCCGCTGCCTTGTGGAGGAGCTGAGGAAAACCAATGGTGAGTGCTCTTTGCTCTGTGCTGATGACCTTCTCACAATGCACTCTCTTCTGTGATGCTCTAGAAAGACTTTCAGCGTGGACAAATCATTCCTTGTCAGCTCCCACATGAGACAGAGGCAAGCTGAAACAAAGACCAAGGGAGCTTGTATTTACCTGCCTGTGTCTGTAGTAAAACTGTGCATTTTGTGTGGGCTGAGAGTCATTTGATTTTATTCAGTACTAAGAATATTAACTTTATTTTCAATCATGAGTATCAGTTGGGAGTGTGTTTATGAACAATAATGTCTTCTTAGGCTGAATGTGGGTTTCCTATTCAAGAACATATTATCATGGAAAACAGGGCAAACACCCATGGCTTCTTGTAGAATACATTAATCCCTTGTAAGGTTTTATATTTGTGTAAATGCTATGGCATGTCTGAGGATTTTCCCAGGCCATTGCATACTTCTGAACAATAATGGTGTTATTCACAGTTTCAAACATTTTGCTATATCTTAATAACGTTCTTGTTAATCGCCATTTCTCTGCAATTGCAGTGCTTTTAAAAATCATTATTTGTTTTCCATTGTTGCTTTCTACTTCTATCGGTGTATGTATTTTGAGTGATAATCCTGTAGCATAATTATTCAACATGCATGAATGCCCATTCATAAAATGTTTTACTTCACATGACCTCAGCAGATCAGCATAGCTCTTCACTGTCCTGGGTGCATGCTGGGTGTTTTCAGATGTGCTTCTCTCTTCGTGTCCATTGGATTTTAAGCCATGCGTGGTGATATTACTTTCCTCCTGGAGTCAACTCTACTAATTTTCTAAAGTGCTGTTCATGGTAAATCTGATTAGTAATTTAGGTCCCCAATAACAAATCTTTCTTTGGAGACATGTACAACTGAAAATCAGGTTTCTGTGAATAATACACACACATGCACACTTGCATACAGAAATCCACACTCCCCAAGACTTTCTAAGATATTTTCTACCTCATTGTGATTTCATAAAACTCTATCTAATAATTTAGAGTCCCACAAAGTTTCTCTGGTGTTTAAAAGTTCTAGCATAGAGGCAACTAATACCAGTTTCCTAGTGTTCGTGTGCCCTACCATATTCAAAACATGTTCTGTTCAAGATACTACTATGGAGGATTTGTAGGTATGAATTTGGGAGCTCTTCACACATAAAGTATGCTGATTATTTTATAACCAGTTTCACTGAGAGTGAAACAGATACAGAGAAAGAAGGGAGCGAATAGAGAGAGAGAAATCCCATTATTCCATCTATTGGTTCTTTCCTCAAATTCTCACAATAACCAATGCTGGACTGGAGGCAAAAGTTGAGCACATAATTTGTTTCAGCCACACAAGTGACTCAATTTCTTATGTCATCATCTGTTGCCTTCGAAAGTCGCAAATGGTCAGAAACACTGAATTATTAATTGGATTCTAGTGTTGAACCTAGGCACCCCAATTTAGACTGCACAGTGTTTTTTTTTTAATTACTATATTTTTCATATTATGGTTTTGTAGGTTCAGGAATTTCCCACTCCCTCACTTTCCCTCCCTCCTCCCCACTGTCTCCACCAAAATTTCTGCCATATCATTATAATAGTATAGTCCTTCACCAATAGTCACAAGTCCAACATTGTGTTATTTGAGTGTATCATGACATTGTAGGAATTGCAAGGTATATTTAGTATCATTTCATCAAGATATATTTGTCCAGTATCATTTTATCAAGGTATATTTAAGTTTCATTGGGAATGCAGAACATCTTAACTGGCATCATAACCACTACACCAATTTCTTGCCTGTATTGATCATTCATGTCTTTGCTTTTCACATTTCTTCTTTTAAATATATGAATTATGACTTCAGTTTCTCTATACTGATGCAACTTAACACTTCACCTCTCGTTACTGTGTCTAGACAAATTTTCCAGGTCCACACTGTGTGCTGGTTTCTATCTCAGTGCTTTATTGTCTATAGACTTTGCAGACATAAATGAATTAGTTTGAAAACCTCAGTAAGTTCAACTTTATTTTTTACATTCCAAAGAACAGATTTCTTGTATTGAGCATATAATATAAAATCCATATGTGTGAACTGAATACTGGATATGTTCTTTTCAGTAGCTTTGTAATTTTCTACTCAGGCATCCAGTAGAGGGATGTGTTATTTTACCTGGGCCATTGTTTTTCAGAAGTTGCAAGGATTTGTAACATCTAAAGTTTCTGAATAAAATTCAAGTGCTTTGAATTTTAATAGAACTTACAATTTGTTTTCAATTTTTAAGCTTCACCCTGTGATCCCACCTTTATCCTGAGTCTTGCTCCCTGCAATGTGATTTGCTCCATTATTTTTCATAATCGTTTTGATTATAAAGATAAGGATTTTCTTGAATTGATGACAAAATTGAATGAAGATATTACAAATCTGAACTCTCCGTGGTTGCAGGTGAGATTTAAAAAAAAAAATATTTTCTTCAAGAGAAATCACTTATGTTGTTTTAACTGACCCAGTTCAAAGTTCTATAGGAAGAAGCTGTGAAACGAATTTTTGTATATCATAGTTGCATACAGAGCTTATCTCATCATTGTACTGCAGGGAAATAGTAGTGAACCTCTTCCATCTGCTGATTTACAGTCTGAACATCCCCAAAAAACCAGACTGGTACTAAGATTCAGGAAAACAAGTACTTGGAGTGCCTTTGCCACCTTTTGTGTACAATAGCAGGAAGGTACATTAGCAGTGTAGTAGCTGAGACTCAGACCACCGCCCAAAATGAGATGCAGAGATGCAGATCCAAAGCAATGGCTTTTATCTTTTGTACCACAATGCCCAAACTAGTCCAAGTTTGTAGGGCAAGACTGATATGAAAAGTAAGAGATTTATATAAAGCAAATGTTAAAAATGTTTTACAATTCAAAGAAATTCAAAGAAATGATTGTCATGTTTGTTCCACTAGCCAGGCTTCTTTCCTTCCTTCTCAAATATTTCTGTAACATGGAAAATTATCACATATTTGCCATAAAAATGTCTGCATCATGATGGATACCATATTTTATTCATATTTATAGCTATAATATCTGACTATGTCCTGAAATATATGTTATATATAAAATTTAAACAATTATTATTTTCTCTTTTAGCTCTGCAACATTTTCCCATTTCTCATTAAGTGTTTCCCTGGAATTTATAGTGATTTGCTAAAAAATTCTGATTACACAAGAAAATTTATTATGGAGAAAGTGAGAGAACATGAAAAATCATTGGATGTGGACAATCCTCGGGACTTTATTGATTGTTTCTTAATCAAAATGGAGCAGGTAAATTATTCACAACAGCTCATCCTATGGTTGCTTCTGCATGTTGAGGTTCCTTGAATAACTCTATATATACAGGGTATGTTTCAATGAGTTTGTGGATTAATCCCAGCATCATGAAATATATTTAGGTACTTCATATAAGGTTTGTGGAAACAGACTTATTTGGTGTGAAATGTGAAGCCCATACGTTTTCCCTACAATATAGTTTTCATGAAGTTTTTGAGATATGTAACATAAAATTAAATTATCGAAAGATTAGAATACATGGGCCTTTTTCTTTAGTTGAAAATAATCTACCAGAGGAGAAACATGATGCATGTCTCAGGTGAAAAGAAATCACTAAAATAATTAAAAATATCCATTATCATGCTGTGTTATGAATATGGACATCATCATTTCACACACAGTAGGGAAGAAGGGAAGCCTGGCTTAACCTAGGTCGAACACCATCATATTTTCTTTATGTTGTTATGGGGGTTTATTGAGATAAACATCCATGTTCTTTTCAAGCAGGCATAATTTCACTTCTCTTTTATTTGAATGTTTTTACTCCTTTTCATGCCTAATTTATCTGACTGGACTTTCTAACATTATTTGGAACAACAGTGGTGACAGCGTACAATCTTAATATGACTTTGATTTATTGCTTTATACCCATTTGTTTCAGTTGGAATGTTGAGTTACCATTAGCATTTGGGGAGAGCGTGGAAAATGACTATCAAGAGACCTTTTTAATTTTTGTTTTTTCTCTAATGTTTTAATGCCTCCTTTGTTAGGCAAGATTAGTTTTTCCAGCACAGAATTTTGGTTGGCAGGTTTTTATCCTTTCAACACTTGAGATGCTTCCAGGTTTTGTTTTGTTTCTTTCCCTTATTTTTCTTCTAACAAATTATTAATTTTTACTTTAAAATTTGAGTTTCAAAGAGAAAAAGAGAGAGAGAGACAGAGAGGTATCTTCTTGTTCACTTTCCAAATGGATGCCATAGCAAGAGTTGAGCTGGTTCTAAATCAGGAGCCAGAGGCTTCTCCCGGGTCTCATGCATGCATGCACTTGAGCACTCAGCAGCTTTCCCAGGCTCTTAGCAGGGAACTGGATGGGAAGTAGAATACCTGGACTAGGACAGGCAACCATATGATGTGCAGGCATGGCAGTCAGAGGATTAACTTGCTAGCCTGCTGCAATGCCCCCCAAATGTGTTTGTTATAACTGTATTTCATTTCTTATCTATAGCTTCCCTCAGCTCTATGGACACATTAGAGATTTATCTTAGAGTAAGTTTGATATCGAGGTTGCATAAGGACTGACTTCTCCAAAATCATGTTTTAAAAAGATTTATTTTCTTTCTATTGAAAAGTCAGATATACAAAGAGGAGGAGAGAGAGGAAGATCATCCATTTGTTGATTCACACCACAATGGCCGCAAGGGCAGCTGCTGTACCAATTCGAAGCCAGGAGCCTCTTCTGGGTCTCCCACATGATTGCCAGTCTACAGCCTTTGGGCAGTCCTTTACTGATTTCCCATTCCACAACTAGGGAGCTGGATGGGAAACAGAAATGCCTGGATTATATCCAGCACCCATATGGGATCCCAGTGCATGTGATGTGAGGACTTAAGCCACTAGGCTACCATCCAGGCCCTAAAATCATTTTAAAATTGTTTGTGAAGCATGTTTCTTGCTTTTTTGTATATAATGTAATTTCCTTGAGAACTGGACATTGAATACAATGTGTTCATTCTGGAAATAAGACTTTTATGTCTTGCATAAGTTGGTTTTACATGACAAACTATCTAGTACTTATGTAACTTTAGTGAAGGTTGAATTTCCTGCTACGTTTTCACTTGAGTCTTGTTCTGTTATCATGTGGAATCCATCAATGATGTGTCATTGCCATAGATTTCCTTAACTTCTTTGTTCCAACAAGAATCAAAAAAAGTTGTTTAGTTCTTTAATTTCCTCATTTAATGCCCCTGGAGTAGTTGTTTGAGCCACAGCATTGGAACAGTGGTCAGGTCAATGGCAATCCGTAGTGGTCAGCCCAATAGAAACACTTGCAGTGCAAAATGTCCTACTTGGCCATCCTGGAATCACAATACTTCACAGAAACACAGGACTCTCCCTATACCACAGAACTGAGGTGTAGGGAATATTGGCCTCTAGTGACCAGTGAGATGTCACATTACTGAAAGGTAGCAGACACTTTGTTCATCCAGTGCTCACCTGGCTGCTGTAAGTTTGACTAGATTCCTGGTGCCTGAAATAGTTTCTTCAGAAAAATCATTCAAGATCATTGATTTGTTTTCTTCCTGCAGGGACTGATTCTTGAACTTTTTGATTGGTCATTTTTATGACATTAAACTAGAAATGCTGTACTTAACAATATTAGTTTTTAAAATCTGTTGCAATGAATGCGCCTCATTTTGTTTAAGTTTTAACTTCTACCAATATGGTTCCATACAATTAGCTGCATTAGGATAAGTTATATGCTGTAACCAGTAAGTCTCAAATCTCCTTTAAAGAGAACATTAGTAATGATTGATGAATACATGCTTTTAATACTGTTTTGAGAGTAATTATTACTTTATGTACTTAGAATACTATATGACTGTGTTATTATCAAATAATACTATGATCTTTGCCTGGCAAATGCATGTTTTGTTGGGTTTGTTTTCAAGGTGTTTCTTTTTTTCTTTTAAATATTGGACACGATTCAGACAGTTGGATGTTATAAGAACATCATGAAGATAAATCTAATTCAGACATTAGAAAATTATATCTAAAACTACATCTATACAAATGTGTGTGTGTGTGCATGTGAACTGTTCTGTTCTCAAGTTATTTTCCTTTTATGTCAATTCCTTGTCACATAATCTTTAGAGCTTTAAGCCAAACTCACTCATCTTGGTCAATGTCTTCCTCCTAACTTCCAGTGCTGTAGAACTCAATTTAGCTAGCCCCATACCCTTGGCATCAGCAATATGTCTGTCCCTTCCCTGTAGGATTGTTCATGCCTCAGCTTCTGTCTTCATGACTGCAGTGTCTTTTCACTTTGTTTATTCCCATTTATTTCTGCAACTGTCCCCTTGTTTATATCACCTGTTGCCTTCCACTGGGACAGCAATAATGCTGGTCATATCTAGTTTTGAGGGACATAATATATTTCATGCCATGTTCCTGTTTACAAAGATGTTTATTAATTTAGATCGTTCTGGTGTACAAGCAAGAGAACATGTGGCTAATAATGGCTTAAACCAAAAGTGTATTTATTTGCCACAAATGCAGCATGTCTCAAACTGAATCAGTCTGGAAATGACGGAATAGATTTAAAGTATCAGAGGTGCCTTCCAATTCTTTTGTATCCCACAGTTAGGACATAGAATTTTGTTTTCCTGGTTACAACCTTGTGTTCCAAGATGATGTTTGTTCTGCCTCATCAGTGTTTTGAACAAGAAGAACATGAAAGCTGCAGTGCCATTAGACTTCTGCTTATATAGTTTTGTGACAAATTTTCATGCCTGGACTACCCAGCTAGAGGGTGTCATGAACAGTGATTTTATGCAAGCAAGAAATAAGGTGGTTTTCAATCCATTTTGAAGATAGCTTTTCTAAGTCTCTAAAATATCTTACAATATATTTTCATAATATTGCTAATCTAGACTTCCATGTTAGCTGGCTTTTAAAACAGCAGTATGGGCTATTTTGACTTCATTATAATAAGATATGTAGTAATAAATGTGTAATAAATTATGCTGGCAAATGATTTGTTAAATTGCATGAAATCATTCCTAGGAAAAGAACAATCCACAGTCGTGGTTCAATTATGAGAGCTTGGAAATCACTGTGGCTGAATTGTTTTCAGCTGGCACAGAGACAACCAGCACAACACTGAGGTACTGTCTCCTGCTCCTGCTGAAGCACCCGGAGGTCATGGGTAAGACTGCAAATGAGGAGCAGAAACTGGGAAGTTTTGTCCTCCACTTTGTCCTAGAAGCTTTGCTGCTTAAGCTCTGTGCTAAGAGCTGTCCTCTACTCAGGAAGTCACCAGGTCAATACAGGACACCTTCATACCCTGTAGGAGGACACCCAAGAGGAGTGGTGACAGTGTGGAGGACAAGAGCAATGAAGATGGGGGTAGTGGTTGCAATTGTGGGAACTGGTGGGTGGATTATGTTTGTTTTTATAAAGTTACAAAGTCCTGTGGGAACAGTAGGTGCATCTGGTACCTAGCCTTCCTTTTTTCAGATAATTCAGTGTCTTAATGCTGTGACAGAAACAAGGAAACTCTTCTTATTGTAGCACAATTGGAGTTTTGGGTGGCCTCCAGGGTTCATTCCAATGGGGAAAGTATTCTCTAAGCTCAGATGTGGAGACAGAAGTTTCCTTTTGTCAAAAGACTCAAAAGGAATTTTATTTCTATAAAAGTCTATTTTCCTATAACTGGTGTTAGATAAAATAGAAATTCTGTGAAGACTATCATTAATTTTATCTTCTATAGATATGTTTATTTAGAAAGCAGAAAGAAATTCTGGTAGAGGTTTTCCTGACTCAATTTATTTTTTAAAAATTTTATCGTATCTATTTATATTAGTTAACAAGTGTACCTTTTGGCGGCCCTGAAGGTAACATAATGATCATTCTAGTAGAGCAGCTTGTGTCTATGTTCCACTAAGTTTTTATACTCCCATGTGCAAAACTTGTAATTATGCTGAGACAGCTTCTTCATTGTTCACAACACCCCCCACCTCTCATTTGTATCTTTCAGCTAAAGTGCAGGAGGAGATTGAGCGTGTGATTGGCAGAGACCGGAGCCCCTGCATGCAGGACAGGAGCCGCATGCCCTACACGGACGCTGTCATCCACGAGGTCCAGAGATTCATTGACCTCATACCCACCAACCTGCCTCATGCAGTGACACGGGATGTTTACTTCAGAAACTACCTCATTCCCAAGGTAATTCATCCCCAGGGTAAGAGTGTAAACTCAGTGCTCTTAAAATCCCCATCCACGGTGTGGTTCCAAAGCACACACCATGAGACAGTGTGGGGAACTTCTTGTGATGTGGCTGGAGTCCCTGTGAGATCTTGCTAGACTAAGTGCTGTTTCCAGTTAGGGGCTTGACATTTTCCTAACAGTGTTTGCTGGCAAGCCATGTGTATCCTCCGCCTCTTTAGTATTGTGTTGGCTGTTCTTAGGTGTTTGCACTTTCAATTCATTCTTAAAGGTGTAAGTTTTTCAATTTCCAGGACTCTTTCTGAATTTCTATCAGGGTGACATTTAACCCCTATGTAAATGTAGTGAATATTTAAGTCTTCAATTTATAAATGATGTTTGATCCAATTTTAGACTCCTTTTTACTTTCTCAGTAAGATTTTGCTTCTATGTGGTTCACAAAGTCTTTGCTTTTTATTTTTGTTGGATAATTAATTATCTGTTGTCAGAGAGTTTAAGATGCCTTTAAACTTTTAAAATTTTTATTTTTGATGATGTCTATGTAGTTTATCAAAGTCAAAAGCATTGAAAGTGTGGGGAAACTTGGTGAGACCATTACTTCCAAATTTTCTTTTTCTTTCTCCTGCTTCTGTAGGAAGGCGGGTGGATAAAGGGAGAAGGCACACCCAGTCTCCCAATTGCCTCAGCAGCTGGGGAGGGGAAATAGCTATTGGATACCATCCCAAGTTCCCCCATGTGGGGCATGCTCTAAGGCTTCTGCTTAAGTGGTTTTGATAGTTTTGAGGTGCTGTAAATGTCACCAATCCAAGGATGAGAAAATCCTCCCAAGGTTCATTGGCTGACTAAGTTCTACTTAGGGTCTCCATTCACCCAGATATTTGCTGTCAATGCTTGGGTGAATAGTTTTCCAATTTGCTCTGCCCTTCTTCCTCTGCTGTGATACCTAATGAGCTCGGTCAGCCCCAGTGGACTGCTGTATCCTCCATGTGCATCTGGGCATACTGTCCACTGCTCCGTCTTTTCCACTGAGGAAGCCCACTTCTGACACATGCACTCAGTCCTCCAATCCTGCAATTCTCCTCTTGGAGTTCTGAGTCTAATGGTTCAGCTGGGGAGATCCCTAAGGATACCTCGTCTGAGGTGATCTAGATCTGACCCTTGTGTGTGCTTGCCAGGTTGGGGTCTCAATCCATCACCCACATCAGCATATGCACACACTGGCAATTGCAATTGCTGGGTCAGTTCTGCCTCCAGGTACATTTCTCATGCAAGCCAATGCATGTTGCATCCCAGAACAATGCAGCCCATTACAAACTCAGTCCTCATGTACACCAGCAGGAACTGAAGCCTAGACTGAATGACCCCCATTAACCTCCACCAGGTCCACTCCCAGCTTTGATTTATGCACTTGCCAGTATATGCAGCAGACTGGTCCAGTCAGACCCACATCTCATTCAGCTCTTATACACATCAATTTACATTGGAGCCTAGTTCAACCCAACTGATCCCATTATCCAGGCCATACTAGTGCCAGCAGGTGCCATGTCTGACTATCCAGAACCTACCCCAGCCCTTGTTCTTATGCTCACCAGTGGCCGTTTCAGCCCCTCAGAGAGGAACCCACAGTTTCCCTACAGGACCCACTTCTATTCCTGGATCTTGAATTATCCAGGTGTTTTTGCAGTCTGGATTGACAGGATTTGCTCCCAGTCTCAGCTTTTGCCAGCCAATGCTGTGGCAAATTCCAACCAGCCTGGCCTGCACTTACTCTGGTTCATGCATGTGCCAGTGTATTGCTTAACCCAGCCTGGCCCTTCCCCAATGCAGTTCACATACAGATAAACAGGTGTTGATAAATTTTAATGATCTTATTGAAAAAAAATATATATATATAAATGTAATTTGTTTTCTTATTTTGGTGACAATTTTTCTATAGATGGATTTGGGATTTTTCAGTCCATTGTCCCACTATCTGGGCTCTTGATTTTTGTTCAATATTTTTCAAATGTTATGTCCTTAGTTTTCCTTTTCCTTTTTACAAATGTTCATTAGAAAAATAGAGGTGCATAAAAAGGACTAACAGAGATTTTCCATGTGCTGTTTCACTTTTCAAATGGCTGTAACAGCCTATTCTAGACTTATTGGAAACCTGCAACCAAAATCCTTTGATGGTATCCCGTGTGGATGTCAAGGTTGGCATGGGCAATGGGAAAGTCTAGTATGTTACTTAACGTAATATGTATTTAACAGTTTCATTGGCAGTCCTCCTTCTTTATAGGAATAGAGTTGCATACTTCACTTCCCAGATTGCTGGTATCCATTACATAGTTCATCTATGAGAATATATGTATACACATGTTTACCTGTGTCTCTATTTGTTTTGTATTTTGTATGAAGGTTGACTTATATTAGAGAGAACATATGATATTTGTTCATTTGGGATTGGCTTATTTCAGTGAGCATAACATTCTCCATGAAGTAGAGGTACCAGCTGGGTTTTTGTTTGTTTGTTTGTTTGTTTGTTTTGCCATTCCTCTTTGGACAGACACATCTGGATTGTTTTTATGTCTTTGCTATCTTTGACTATGCTGGTATAAATATAGCCTTGTAGGTCACTTTCTCATATGCAGATTTTATTTCTTATGGATATATTCCCAGTACTGCTATAGCTGGGTCATATGGTAGATCGATTTTTAGTTCTCAGCACACTCCATACTGATTTCTATAGTGGCTGCATCACCTTACATTCCCACCAGGAGCGGAGTAGGTTACTTTTCTTCCCACATCCAGGCCAGAAAGTGTTGTTGGTGAATTTCCAAATGTAAGCCAATCATATGTTGCCTTTATAATTTTGAAGTATGTACCTAACTTCTGGAGGTTTCTTTTTAATCATCATAAGAGTTATCAAATGCCTTTTCTGCAAAGGCTGGGATGTGAACATGTATGTGTTTCTTAATTTAATTGATTTGTTTAATGACCTTTATTGATTTTCAACTACTGAACTAGATTTATATTCCTGGGATAAGCGAGTGATCATGATGCACAATCTTATGATGTTATTCTCTATTCAGTTTGCTAATATTTTGTTGAGAATTTTTGCATCTTTGTTCATTAAAAATATAGGTCTGTGGTTTTCTTTTCATGATATGTCCTTGTTTCATTTTAGGATCAAAGTGATCCTAACTTCATGAAAAGATGTTGGTAGAGGCCTATCCTTTTAATATCCTCAGATAGTCTGAAAAATATTGGAATTCAGTTGTGAAACATCATGACCTTGATGTTTCTTGATGGAATACTCTTGACTAGTTCTTCATTCTCATTTGTTGCTATGGGTCCATAGATTGCTATGTGGATGTAATAACAATTATTATGGATTATATGGATTATAATATAGATTATATGGATTTAATCCTGACAAATTACGTAGTTCCAGAGATTTAACCATTTCTTTGACGTTTTCCAGGTTATTACCACATAGTTCTTCATACCATTTTTGTGAGGATTGTAAAATCACTGGAATAGGTTGTAATATCTTTTTGTTTGTTTACTTGACTAGAGTTTTATCTGTTTAACTTATGTTCCCATAAAAAGGTTTGTACTGTTAATATTTTGTGGCTTAATATATTTGGTTGAATTTCATTCTCATTTATTTCTTCTATGATCAATATTATTTTGTTCCTGTCATTGATTTCAATTTTGTCTTCTTCTAGTGTTTCTCTGACAAAGGTGCATCATTTAATCTTTAAGATAACTGTGTTTTCTTTATTGTAAGCATTTAATATTCAAAGTTACCTCTTAATTATGATTTTGTTGTATGGCAAAATTTTAATACAGTTTGTTTTCATTTTCACTTATTTCCAGAAAGTGAAAACATGCTTGCTCCTTCAACTGCTGTCAGAAAACATTTTGGCTAAGTCAGTGCCAGGGGATTAGACTCACTCCTGATAATTATGTGGTCTGTGGGTTGGAGGTGTTACTGCTTTCCCTTAGACTGAAGTTTCCCCTTCTGTGGACTGAAAGATCTAAAATAATACTGCTGTATTTTTCCCAGTTGGATTATTTATGTCTCTTTAATCCAGGGCACCACTATCATCCCATCACTGACATCTGTGCTTCATGATGAAAAAGAATTTTCCAACCCTAAAGTATTTGACCCTGGACATTTTCTGGATGAAAGTGGCAACTTTAAGAAGAGTGACTACTTCATGCCCTTCTCAGCAGGTAATAAAAATGTTAGTTACAGTGAGATGTGAGATGTGCAGCAAGCGTGTCTGACCTCGTTCATTTGTCTACAGAGTCATCTTCAAAAACAGCCATCATATGCTCCATGTCCTCTTTGAACCAGTCGCAAATACAGGGTTTCTTACATGCACAGTTACACACAGGAAGTGATTCCCCTCTGTGTTTATTATTTTCAGGAAAACGGGTTTGTGTGGGAGAGGCCCTGGCCCGCATGGAGCTGTTTTTGTTCCTGACCACCATCTTACAGAATTTCAATCTGAAATCTGTCGTTGAACCAAAGGACCTTGACATCACTGCAGTCGCCAGTGGATTAATTGCTGTTCCACCTCCATACCAGCTCTGCTTCATTCCTGTTTAGATGGAGCACCCTGGCTGCTGGTGCACTGGCATCTACAGTTCCCTTTTCTATCATTAATTTCATTTATAACTCTTTCACATCTCAGCATTCTCTGAGATCCAGTGAACACACAAGCTCCGTTAATGGAATGCCATAAGGTAATTTCACAACAATTTCTTCTATTCTGTGTATTCTCAATCACTGACACTACTGCTTACATTTAGTAAATACTGTGAAATTGACCAATACTTATCACCCTAATAGAGGAAAAAATGTACCTTTCAACATATTATTTTCTCTGCTTGTTCTTACTTAAAAATTAAAAAAAATAAAATAAACATTGTTGTATGGTCAGTTCTCCAAGAATGTAAGAGTCTCAAGAGGCCCTTGTGTTCTCATAGTTACAAGCAGAGTCATTAAATGAAAAAGGATAGAAAACTTTGAGAGTCACCAAGCATTATTGAAAGTGTGGTTTTTTCGTAACCTTTGTTTCATTATCAAATATCTGTGTATCTATTTGAAAGAGTTATGCACACACATACAGACAGACACACACGTATAAACTCGAGAGAGACAGAGAGAACTCTATCACCTGGGTCCCTTCCTATATGATTGCAATGCTAGGATGTAGCAAAGTGAAGTCATGAGCTTCATTTGGGACTTTCGCATGGGTGACAAGGGCCTAAGCTCTTGGGGCATCTTCCAATACTTTTCATATGCCATTTGTAGGGAATGAATTGCAGGATCATGGATATGAGCTAGCAGCTATATGAGATACTGGCATGGGGGGTGACTTAATTTGCTTTGACAAAATGTTTGCCACACACACATAATTCTCTACTGATACAAATATATAAACTCTGAGCAGCAGACAGTTAAATATAATCGGGTTTTCAAAAGTTCACGGAAGGCAGTATTTGGAGGAAATTATATATGGATTTCAATTTATTTACATCAAAATACTACCCTTTAGCTTCATATACCACGAAGCTTTTGGATTACCTTTGTACATTCCAAAGACAGTTACCCATTATTAGAAAGTTATAAGCTACTTGCAACGAGAAACAGGAGAATGATTTCACAATAAAAGAAGTTTGGATACTCTCTTAATTATCAAAGTGATCATGGTTAAAATACCAAGATTAAACTTTCCACCTGTTATGTTTTATTGGGATGAAGAACAATCATCCTGTATTATATTCGTATCAAGAGATATCACAGAGTAATGGTGATGGCATACAACAAATTGTGTATTGTTTCATAATCCTGTTGGAATGCTGTGGCCTTCTCATTGGTACTGATAGATGAAAAACACATGAAAATGAGGACTGAGTGGTTATGATTAATTCCTTGATTTTGTACTTGTAGTATAATTTTATATATGTAAATATATGAACTATTATGAATTTGAAAAATTGAAGACTGTTTTTTAAATATCTATGAGACACAAATTTTAAAAAGATACAGAATGTCTACAGGTATTAACTTATAATATTCATGAGAAACATGGTCCTACTGTGAGTATAGCAGAATGGAAGATCGAGAGATGGAAAAAGCATAGAGGACTCAGGACCTGGTCCTTGCCAAACACTTTCTGTGCACCTGGTGAAACAGTTGTTTATCTGTCAGCATCCCCATTGGTTTGTAGATGTGGTAGTGTACAATGAACCCACTTCAGCAGCAGATAGACCGTAGTGAGCTGAGCTTTACACCTACGCCTGGACTTTGCTAGCCCTGCTGGATGTGCTCCACAGATGATCTGGCATGGTGGCATTGTTGAGAACATGAAAGGAACCATGAGGCTCAGGAACAGTCTGGATGTTGAAATGCTCCTTTGTACTCCCTCCCAGGGTTTATACTGAACAATTCATCAACTGTAGTTTTGGGAAACATTTGAGTTTGTGAAATACATATGAGATTGACTCAGTAAACAATCACAGGCTCTGCCATTGAACATGGTGTGTTAAACTGATGCTGACAATACCCGCATCCCATACAAGTGACTGTTCAAGTCCTGAGTTCTCCACTGCTGTTCCAGCTCTCTGCTACTGTGCCTGTGTGAAAAGAAGTTGGCTCAAATGCTTTTAATGTTGTCAACCATGTCCGAGACTCAGAAAGTGTTGTGACAGGCAATGATGCATTCCCCTATGAAATAGTCTATATGCCCCTCAAAGCATTCAAAGTCGGGTGCCTTCTCTTCCTGGCTTTCCACACTCTGCATAAACAGGGAAGCACCTTTTATTGTAGTACTCCACACTCGGATTTGGACTTTGACACATTTCCAAACAACCACATTTCCCTGGTCATAGAGCTCAGCCTATTTTGCACTCTCTCTTACCAAGGCTTTTGCTGCACATAAACATCTCGAGATCCAACCCTACTGGAATCCTGTGACACATATACCAGTCTACACCCTAGAAGTTCCACAAACTCTGCCCCCTGAACCAGAAAGGCTGCCTTGTCCATTCTCCTGTGACAAAGAAATAGCCTGAATTGCTCATCCTGAACAGATTAGGAAATAGTAATAAAAGTAAGTCAAAGGACTCAGCCTACTTTATCTTCCTTGAGGCTTTTTATAAGTTTATAGAGTAGTGAAAGCAGTATGGTATATGTGAAACAATAGATCAATTAATTAATGGAATATAATGGGCAATCAGAATTAAATCCAGAGAAATACAGTTTTGATTTTTCAAACAGATAGAAAGCAATTGATTTCAGAAAGCATTTCCATTTCAAAAGTTCCATTGAACAAATGAACACTCATATGCTATGCATATGTATATATATGTTTGTGTATATATGTATATATATATAGTGTGTCAACGTAATTCAGAACAAGTCATACACACCTGCAAAATAGAAAAAAAAATACTATTGGACATAGCAAGTAAATGGTATAAGTCAGCTGGCCCTGTTAATGGTTTTCTATCTACAATACCATAAGAGGTAAGGAAGAATTCAGTGATAGGATTTTAATAGTATAAGCAATATATGTTCTTTGCAAATTACTAAAGAGAACTATTATAGAGTTTGAGAAATACTCAGAAATGTGTGGTTGCTATGGAAAACGCAAAAAATTCAACTTTTTTCCATTTGTTGTTCCCTTGTTATTATTGAAATGAATTGAAGGTTTATATGTAGTATGCTGCAAACAGATGTGTATGGCAGCTTTATTTTCCTTGACAAATGTGGAAGAACACCAAGATGTGCTCAATACTTGAACTGATATACTATAGCATTTTCATACACTGAAATGTGATTCAATATCATTTAGCATGCAAAAGTTACTAAAGTCATGGAAGAACATGAAAGATCATTATGAAGATTATTAAATAAAAGAAACCAATATGCCACAGCTATATGTTATGATTTTTATTGAAGACATTATGCAAGTGGCAAAACTATGGTGACATTAACATTTGGTGATTTGTGGGCAAAGAACTGGTGGGAAGTGAAGATTGAATCAACAGAGAACACAAGATTTTAGGGCAGTGTGTGTAATTTGTAAATTGCAAAATGATGCACCTATCTCTTTGGTCAAATCCATAGAACTTACAATACTGGAGAAATGCTGTAAGAAACACAAATGCTGACTAATGCTGATGCATCATTATTGATTCAATAGTTGTTAAAAAAAAACTTACGAGTTATTAGTTGTAAGAAAGTATGTGTGTGGTATGGGAAGGATATATGTGGTCATTATTTTCTAGTTAATTTTTCTGTGAGCATTAAGCCGTAATTTGGATATAAATTCCAGCAATTAGTTTATATCCAAAGTGCAGCTTAATGTTCACAGAAAAATTAACTAGAAAATAAACTCTGTGTCTCTCGTGTTACTCTCTTTCCCTCCTCTCCATATATGCCTTTCAAAAACATAAAAAAGTATCTTCTGGGTCTGTCATTGTGGTACAGTACTGTCTTCTAGGGAAACAACCAACATATATAAGATCTCTGTTTCTGCTCTCTTAACACTGCCTTTCAAATTAGTATACTTGCTCTTTAGCACATATCAGAATGAGTTGCAAGCTTATAACTGCTCTAAAGCTAATGTTGTTTAGAGCAGCTTTGTTCACAATTGACAGAATTTGGCAAACATAAAGATTTGTTTAGTTGTTGAATAAATAAGCCATAGCATTTACACATGTTGGAATATTATTTACATATCATACAATATTAAATCAGTTATTAAACCATTCATATATGTAAGAAGACTTTATGAATATGACTAAGTGAAAAATAACAATATATCAAGACTATGTTCTGTGATTTCCTTACATGACATTATGCAAAAGCCAAAACATTTATGACGTGAAAAAAGCTAATGCGTTTGTAAAATCCTGGTGGGAATAAAGGGATGAATCAGCAGAGAGCAGGGGATTTTATCCTGTATGATAAACACTGGTGCACCTGTCTAATTAATGTTGGTCAGGTAAATAGAATGTACAAGACAAGAATGAACTTGGCTGATATCAATGCACTACTATCGGTTCATTGCTTGTAAAAAATAATAATAATAACAGCTTACCAACAAGAGTTACTAACTTTAGGAAAGGCTGTGAGTGGGTGTGGGCATGTGGGACACTGTTTCTTTTCTACTTAGTTTTGTGTGTGTGTGTGTGTGAACTTTAAGCTGTATTCTGGAAATGGATTCTAGAAATGAAAAACAAAATCCTCATTCTAACCCTTAAATCTAACATATGTGAACTGTGTATTACCTTTGATTTTTGGAGGCTAAATAATGTAAATCTGTTAATTAACTGAACTGAGATTCAAATTCTTTACAATGGAATGTGAAAATTCAGCGAACTAGAAGTTGGAAAACCAGAATTCTAAGGTAAGGTCTCCAGCTGATGTATTGATGACACTATATTTTAGTGTTATAAACTGTTTATCCCTAGAAGTCAAACAAATTTGGGCTCATTGATCTCAGCAATCCCTTCTATGTAAATAATGTGAGTCTGGGGCTAGTGTTTGGTACAGAACTTAGAACCATTTGGGATACCCGCATTCCATACCAAGCCCAAGTTTGAGTTCCAAAGCTGCTCTCAATTCCAATGTCTTGATAATGTACTTTAGGAGTTATCAGATGACAGCTCAAGTTCTTGGGAGGGTGTTTCCCATCTGGATGGCTTGCACTGTGTTTCTGGCTCCCAGTAATAGATTGTCAGCACTAGACTTTAAGGGCATTAGAGGACTGGACCAGCATGTGAGAATTCTCTGTCTCATCTTTTAGTCTCTCTCTCTCTCTCTCTCTCTGTTGCTCTGCCTTTCATAGAAATCATGCAGATGCTTTAAGCACCATATAATAAATAATCTAGGCTGGACAAAAAGAATGAGAGGCAAGGCAAGGAGGCTATCTCTCAAGGACAATTATCTTTTACACTTCACTGCTCTAAAGAAATGACAGAGTTCATTTACCCAAAACATATGTGGTTGTTTTATTGAAATTTAGCACTATGTGAGTTAGGTAGAACACTGTTTCTCTTAGAATGTTGAATTCACCAAGTTATAGAGTCATTCAAGTTCTAAACTCATTTGATTTTAATCAACTGTCTTAGTAATCGGTAACTAAAGTCAAGTTTATCTTGAAAGTCACTGATTAGGCTGAATCATGCAACAGTGAAGCGTAGCCCATAGAGTCCATATTGATGAACTCACTTGAACTTAATGTCTTGTTTGGTGGGACAGTGGCTGTTTTTATGTCTCTGTCCATGGAACTGAATCTACACTGCCCAGTTTCTTCATTCCTCAAGTAAGAATGATTTTAGATTTAACTTAGGCAAAAGTAACTGAACCCTAAGTATGTGAAAGGTCCGATACTTGATTATTAGAAGCCATCTAATCATGACTTGTAAAACATTGTCTAAGTAGTTCTTAACAAAACTTTATTGCTACAAACAGAACTATAAACATAACTGCACTAGTCAATTGACACAAATGTTGAGAGCATTTTAAAAACACGATGTTTGCATAAGCTTGTCATTGGTGATCTGATAATACTTATCACCCAGAGATTTTGAAATGCCTCATGAACATGATGTCACCATCTTGTTCAGCTCTCTACAATATGATTTTTGAGAAGTAGGTCCATTAAATGATTTTCCTTCCTCCAATACAGTATCTCATCCTCAGTTTCTCTAACTCCCCTGTTTTTCTCTACCTTTTTTTTTTTCTCACTTTAAGAGAATGACAGACAAAAACCACCAAAAACAGCCTCATCTGGAGTTGACCGAGACAGAAAGGAAGTTCTAGTTCCCAAGAATTTCCCTCAAATCAGAGATTCTCTTTTGGGTCTGTTGCATAGACTAAGTTTTACCACTGTAGTTGTCTGAAGTGTAATATTCCCTCTTTTTCTTTTCTGATTTTGTTACCCTAGAAGGGCGATGTTTATTTGGAGTAACAAACATTTTGGGCTTCCTTTGTTTTATTGAAGTTGCTTTTGAGGTGGATGGGTGTAGACCGCAATGCACCAAAACATGTGTCCTAAGATATTGGCAGAGCTTGGGTCAGGAATACACATTGTGACACAAAGGTTAAGCTGCTGTTTGGACACTTGCCCTCAGCCAGAATGTATTGGTGTGCTTTCTGGTTTCACTTTTTCTGGCGGCTTAGGCTGACACTATCCTGGAAGGCAGCAGTTTCTGGCAAGAGCTCTTGGATCCCTTTCAACTATGTAGTAAGCAGGGCTGATTCTGGGTTGCTGGCTTTGGCTTGCCTCAATCTTGGATGTTTTCTTAATTTGGGGTATAAACCAAGACATAGGAGATGAATCAATCTCTCTTTCTCTTTCTTTCTCTTTCTCTCTCTCTCTTCCAAGCTTCCAAATAATTTGATGAATAAAATGTTAAACACTGTATTAAATTTATTTTTAATGCTGTGAAAACAAGAGTAAACACAAAACCTCAAATTCACCTTTCCTAAAATTTGTGACACAGTCCATGTCTCTTTCTTTTTTAAAGATTCTTTATTTTTTATTGAAAAGTAAAAATTAATATTCTCTACCTTACAGTGCTTTCATTTTAAAGTTTTATGGTGAACATTATGCCAATTTATTTATATGCTTACTTAGCTATTTCTGATCATATAATCATTTGTGTTTAGTCAGTTGTAATTCTAGCAGGATATATTATGTAGTTGATGGCTGCAATTACTGAATTCAAAGTGTCCTACATTTTGACATAGCTTCAAGCACACTCTCATATACATGCATACATTACACAGTATATATTAATATATACATATGTCACAGTATATGCTGATTTCTTTCAGTCATCAATTCTCAACTTGCAATTATTCAGTAGAATTTTGGGTGATTTCCTTGCATCATAATTACTTTTAGGTCATATCTATACATGGAAATCATACTTCATTTTTGCTCGTATTTTTAAACTACCAATACCCAGTATAATGAACCTATAATTTTCAAGTGAGCATTGGAAAGAAAAGGAACATGACTTAAGTGCCTCATGTTTTGTCTCTATCATGAATACAAAGTCCACTCAGAGGGTACTATAAAATGCGTCCAGTTGATTGGTCTCTTAGCATGTCCAAGAGGTATTGCAGACAAAGTTCACTCACAGGGTAGTATAAAATGTGTCTAGTGAAGAGACACAGCTTGAATTCCCAGGAGTGTTACAAGAGCCTGTGCTTTCCAGCTCACAGTAATCTCAACAGAGAAAGCTTCAATGGATCCAGCTGTGCTCCTGGTGTTGGCTCTCTCCTGTTTGCTTCTCCTTACCTTCTGGAAGCAGAGCTCAGGCAGAGGAAAGCTGCCTCCTGGACCCACTCCTTTCCCGATCATTGGAAACATTCTCCAACTGGATGTGAAGGATGTCAGCAAATCCTTGACCAATGTAAGAAAACACTATACTCTTGTTGTGGCATCCAATAGGAAAGTTGACTATTTGTAAAATCCATTCCTGGATGCGCAGTCTTATAAAAGATAATTGTAAATCAAAATACTCTGCAAACTTTGATGTTTCTGCTACCACTTTCTTTTTTTTTTTTTTTATTATTATTGTTGCTTACATTGTATTATGTAGTACAGCTCCATAGGCGCTGGGGATTCCCCCCACCCCTCCCACACCCCTCCCCCCATGGTGGATTCCTCCACCTTGTTGCATAACCATAGATCAAGTTCAGTTGAGATTTATTGCTTGCAAACACATGCCTAGCATAAAGTTCCGTGTCCTATTGTCCAGATAAGTTCAGTGGCCTCTTGGGGAGACCTTCTATGGTCTGAAGATAGGTCTAACAGAGTAAAGATCCGGTCAGTTAAAAGCCCCAACAAGGCCTCAGTATCATTATACAACATTATGGAATTAATTGACATAGTATTGGGTAAACAATATGTTAAAAATAATGCAAGTTCCATTCTTCGAGACATCTGGGTTGAGACAGTATCAATGACAGGTTCAAAAAATAACAAACAACCAAACAAAAATTACACGTTAAATCAAGGCAAACATGTGGTATCTAATCTTTTGGGATTCACTCATTTCCCTTAGCATTATAGTTTCCAGTTGTGCCCATTTAGCCACAAAGAACTGCATTTTGTTTTTTTTAATAGCTGAGTAGTATTCCATGGAGTAGATGAACCAAAGCTTTCTTATCCAATCTTCTGCTGATGGGCATTTTGGTTGCTTCCATGTTTTTGCAATTACTGATTGTGCTGCAATGAACATAGGGATGCATGTTGGTTTGTCGTAAAACAGGTGTTTTGGATATATTCCTAGGAGTGCTATTGCTGGGTCATATGGTATGCAGATTTTGAGTTGTTTGAGTGTTCTCCAGACTGATTTCCATAGAGGCTGTACCAATTTGCAGCTCCACCAGCAGTGGAGTAGGGTTCCCTTTTCCCCGCATCCTCGCCAGCAAGCGTCGTTGGTGTTCTTGTTTATGTGGGCCAATCTTGCTGGTGTTAGGTGGTACCTCATCGATGTTTTAATTTGGATTTCCCTTATTGCTAGGGAGCTGGAACATTTTTTCATATGTTTGTTTGCCATTTGGATTTGTTCCTTTGTGAAATGTTTGCCCATTTCCCGTGCCCATTTCTTGAGTGGCTTGTTCGTTTTGGTTTTTTGGTTGTTTTGAAGTTCTTTGTATATCCTGGAAATTAGCCCCCTATCGCCTATATCGTGTGCAAAGATCTTCTCCCACTCTGTGGGTTGCTTTTTTACTTTGTTGATTGTTTCCCTTGCTGTACAGAAGCTTCTTAGTTTGATGAGGTCCCATTTGTTTATTCTGTTCTCAACTGCTATTGCTTTTGGTGTCCTTCTTAGAAAGTTGGGACCTACTCCTAGGTCTTGCAGGGTATTTCCTACATTTTCTTGCAAGAGTTTGAAGGTTTCTGGATGTAGGTTTAGGTCTTTTATCCATGTAGATTGGATCTTGGTGTATGGTGATAGATGTGGGTCTATCTTTTTGTTTCTACAGGCTATCAGCCAGTTGTCCCAACAACATTTACTAAAGAGGCCTTCCCACTTGCTTGAGTTGTCATTGGTCTTTTTGTCAAAGATTAATTGGTTGTATTTGTGTGGGTTCCCTTTTGGAGCTTCTATTCTATTCCATTGATCTTCCTTTCTGTCTTTGTGCCAGTACCAGGCTGTTTTGATAACCACTGCTCTATAGTATGTCCAGAGGTCCGGGATTGTGATTCCCCCTGCTAACTTCTTATTTTTCAGGATGGTTCTAGCTATTCGTGGTTTTTTGTGTTTCCAGATGAACTTTTGAATCATTGTATCCAGTTCCGTGAAGAATGTTTTGGGCAATTTGATTGGAATTGCATTGAAAATGTATATTGCTTGTGGCAGTATAGACATTTTAATGATATTGATTTTGCCTATCCAGGAGCACGGGATGTTGTTCCATCTTTTGAGGTTTTGTTCAATTTCCTTTTTAAATAGTTTGTAGTTTTCTTCGAATAGGTCTCCTACGCTTTTGGTTAGATTTATTCCCAAATACTTCATACTTCTCTCAGCTATTTTGAATGGTATCCTGTTGGTTAGATTTTCTTCCATCTTGGTGTTATTTGCGTACACTATGGCTGTTGATTTTCGTTCGTTAATTTTGTACCCCGCCACTCTGCCAAACTCTCGTATAAGTTCTAGCAGTTTCTGTATTGAGTCTCCTGGTTTTTCTATGTATAGGATTATGTCATCTGCATATAGTGAAAGCTTGACTTCTTCGTTTCCTATACGTATGCCTTTGATTTCTTTTTCTTGTCTTATGGCCTCTGCAAGTACCTCTAGGACTATGTTGAATAGCAGTGGTGATAGCGGGCACCCTTGTCTTGTTCCAGATCGCAGTGGGAAGGGTTCTAGCTTTTCTCCATTCAGTATGATACTGGCGTTGGGTTTTTCATAAATTGCTTTGATTATGTTGTGGATTTTCCCGTCTATGCCTACTTTGGCTAGAGTTTTTAGCATGAAGAGGTGTTGGATTTTGTCGAAGGCTTTTTCTGCATCTATTGAAACTATTATGTGGTTCTTGTTTTGCAGTTTTTGGATATGGTTTATAACATTTATGGATTTCCGAATATTGAACCATCCCTGCATTCCAGGGATGAATCCTACTTGATCCGGATGAATGATCTGTCTGATGATTTTTTGAATTCTATTGGCTAGGATTTTGTTGAGAATTTTAGCATCAATGTTCATCAGAGAAATAGGTCTGTAGTTTTCCTTCTCTGATGGTTCTCTGTCCGGTTTTGGGATTAAGGTGATGTTGGCTTCATAGAATGAGTTTGGGAGGGTTGCTTCCTCCTCTATTGTTTTGAAGAGCTTGTAGAGGATTGGGGTTAGTTCTGTTCGGAATGTTTTGTAGAATTCTGTAGTGAAGCCGTCTGGGCCTGGGCTTTTTTTCGTTGGGAGATCCTTGATGACTGTTTCAATCTCTACCTCGGTTATGGGTTTATTTAATTCTGCAGTTGCCTCCGGACTGAGTTTTGGTAGGTGGTGGGAGTCCAAGAACTTTTCTATTTCTTGGTGGTCCTCAAATTTGTGGGAGTACAGTTCTTTGTAGTAATTTCTAATTATTTTCTTAATGATTGCAGTGTCTGTTGTTATGTTGCCTTTTTCATCTTTAATGCTATTGATTCTCACTTTCTCTTGTTTTTTTTTGGTCAATCGGGCCAGTGGAGTGTCTATTTTGTTTATTTTCTCAAAAAACCAACTTTTTGATTTGTTGATTTTATGTATAGTTTTTTTGATTTCTATTTGGTTTATCTCCTCCCTTGTTTTGATGATTTCTTGTTTCCTATTGTGCGTGGGACTCTTCTGCTGCTGTTTTTCCAGATCCTGGAGGTGTGAGGTTAGTTCCTGTATTTGGCGTCTTTCTTGGGCCTTGACATGCGCTCCGATTGCGATGAATCTACCTCGTAGCACTGCTTTGGCAGTGTCCCACAAGTTTTGGAATGTTGTATCAGAGTTTTCATTGGTTTCCATAAATTTTTTGATCTCATCTTTAATTTCTTCTCTGACCCATTGTTCGTTTAATAGCATATTGTTCAATTTCCAAGAGTGCCTATACTTCCTGGGGAGTTTTGAGTTGTTGATTTCCAGTTTCATCCCATGGTGGTCTGAGAGGGTACATGGTATGATACTAATGTTTTGGAAGTTGTTTAGATTCGCTTTATGTCCTATCATGTGGTCGATTCTGGAGAAGGTGCCATGCACCGCTGAGAAGAAGGTATAGTCTGTGGCCTTAGGATAAAAAGTTCTATATATGTCTACTAAGTCCAGTTGTTCTATTGTTTGTGTGAGCTCTGTTGTTTCTTTGTTGAGTTTTTGTTTCGTAGACCGGTCCATTGTTGTTAGAGGTGTGTTGAGATCGCCTACAAGAATTGTGCGGGTGTCTATGTCTTCCCTTAAGTCTGTAAGTAATTGCTTTACGTAAGTAGGTGCATTAAGATTCGGTGCATAAACATTAATGATGGTGATTGCTTCTTGATGGATCTTTCCTTTCACCAGTATAAAATGGCCTTCCCTGTCTCTTTTGATGTTAGTTAGAATGAAATCTATCTCGTCTGAAATTAGGATAGCTACCCCAGCTTTTTTTTCTCGTCTATTGGCGTGAAATATCTTTTTCCATCCCTTCACTTTCAGTTTCTTTGCATCCTTTCTGGTTAGATGCGTTTCTTGTAGGCAACAGATGGTTGGGTCTTGTTTGATGATCCATTCTATTAATCTCTGTCTTTTGATTGGTGAATTTAGACCATTTGTGTTGAGAGTTAAAATTGAGAGGTTGCAATTTTGCCCTGCCATGTGATTGTGTTGTGTGTGTGTTGTTGCCTATGTAATTGTCTTGTTCGTGTGGCCTTTAGTTTGGAGACCTTCTTATTTGCCAACTTTGTTTGTGATTTGCCTCCTTTTTGTCCGGGACTAGCGCATTTCTAAGGAGACTTTGCAGAGCTGGTTTTGTGTAGACATATTCTTCTAGTTTTTCTTTGCTATTGAAGTATCTGATTTCGTTCTCATATACAAATGAGATCTTTGCTGGGTAGATTATTTTTGGTTGACAGTTGTTTTGTTTCAGGACTTGGAAGATCTTTGTCCATTCTCTCCTTGCTTGTAGGGTCTCTTCGGAGAAGTCAGCAGTGATTCTGATGGGTTTTCCCCTGTATGTGATCTTTTCTCTACTTCGTACTTGTCTCAGGATTCCTTCTTTGTCTTCATTGGAGTAGAACTTGAGCACCGTGTGTCTGGGTGAAGATCTCTTTGGATCATATCTGTTGGGAGTTCTCTGTCCATCCTGTATGCGGGGTGGATTCGTGTTCCAAGTGTTTTGGAAGTTTTCCTGTATAATTTCATCAAGCACTGCTTGCATCCCAGATTCTCTTTCTACTCCCTCGGGGAGGCCGATGATCCGAATATTCAATTTTCTAAGGTAATCTTTCATCTCTTGCATCATTTTATTAGTTTTGCTGAGGTTTGTCTCCAGCTGTTTAATTCGCTGGGCACCTTCATTTTGTGTGTCTTCTGTGTCAGAGATCCTTTCCTCTGCCGCATTTATTCTGTTGATGAGGCTTTCAATCTTATTATCTTGGGCATCCAGTTTGGTTTTGATTTGTTGTATTTCGGTGATTATGCGGTTCTGGAAGTCTTCCAGCTTTGTGTCCACGTCTCTGAGAAATTTTAGCATTATTTTCATCAATTCCTTTGCTGGTAACACGTCCATGTCTTCATCTCGTATCGTCGATATTGATAATGGCTTTTGGCCCTTGTTTGGTGGGGTGCTGGCTCTTTCATCTGGAGCACAACTCTTTCTGGTGGTTTTTCCCATTGCGTTGGTGTATTCTGGTGGGGCAAATGGACCCGTGTGTTGAGGGGCCGTCAGGTGCTTTCCTGTAGAGATTGGAGCCTGCAGGCGTGGTGTTGCCAGGCGTGGTAGTTTTCAAGGCACCGTTGGTGCGTTCTCAGGGCCCGGGGCTGTAGAGCACCACCTTGGGGGCCCAGTGGATTCCAGGCACACTCTGGGCACCTCTTCTACAGGTGTGACACCCCAGGGCGTGGAGGGATGGAGGCGCTCTCTGGGTGTGCCCCCTGCACGGGAATCCACAGGGCTTAGAAGGTTTTATGTGCTTTCTCCCTGCGTTCTCCGTGTCAGGGACTGCAGGGTCTTTCAGAGCCCACCTGGTGCGTCTCCCACACACGGGACTGTGGGTGAGGCACTTTCCAGGCGTGGCTCTTGTGCAGTGAATCCACCACTCGTGGTGTGTGGGTGTTCAGAGCCCCTGCTCCCGTGTGGCTCCCCCACACAGGCCCTTAGCGGAGGAGTGGCCCAGGCGCCCTGTTATAATGACTTCACGGCAGGTTCGCACCGTGTGAGTATGGTGCTGGAGTTTTCAGAGCTCTCCTGGTGGGTCGCCCACACTCAGAACTGCGGGATGGTAGGCGAGGAGTGAGCAGTTCACTCTATGGGAGTGGTACCTGCGTGTCAGGGACACACAGCGCTACACTTCCCAAATCTCAGAGGTCTCCTGACACCTGACACCTGCGCTGCGGAGGCGGCTGCTGCAGGCGGGGCCGCCCAGTCCGCTCGGTGCAGCGTTCAGAGTCCTCCCGGTCCTCCACCAGGCAGGGTGTGGGGGACTCCAGACCCTTGCCAGCTGTCTCTGCGCACCGAGCCGCACTGGCCCCCTCAGCGCAAGAACAACCGAGGCGCCTTCCCAGGGCCCCTTCAGCCACCAACACCACTGAGCGTAGTTCCCAAAGCAAAGACCCGACAGTTTCAGGCTGCCTGCCCCGCGATCTCAGAGGCTGTAACCTCAGCAGGGGTCGAGTAATGCGAAGGCTGCCACGTCAACCCCCCCCCCCCCCCCCCCCGCTCACCAAACGTCCGGCCGCTGCAGTCTGCCTCCGCCGCTGTTGAGGGCCTCCCGCCGGGGACGATCCCCCTGATCTCCCCGCCTCCGAGCTGGCCGCGTCTCCCGTCAGGCCGTTTTCAAAAGTGACTCAGCAGGTCTGGCGTGGGATGTCGGTTTCTCTGCCTTTGCCCTGCTCCGTTCTCGTTGTTCTTCCGAGTTGTGTGGATCTTTTTGGCTCCACACTGTCCCAGGGAGCTTCACGGACCTCTCCCTGCGGTTCCCTGCTGTTCCTCTTTGCTGCTTCTGTAGCGTTCTATCCCTCTCTCACTAGACGCTCACTCACAGCCTTCCTCCTACGTCGGCCATCTTCCTCTCCCATCTGCTACCACTTTCACGAGCTAAGTAGAGAAACATCGAGTCACTTTATGGTCAATTCAAAATAATAAAATGGCTAATGTTTGGAGGACTGCCAGCATTGTTTGCTTTTGTGATCCAAATTTCATCCAAGAAATCATATACTGTATTATACTGTATTTTAGTCAAATTATCCATGAAAACTGAACAACTTTGTGGAAAAAGCAAAATACGATACCAAGCTATAGGTGCTGGAGTAATTTGCATGAAGGAAAGAACTGATTGCTCAGTGCCCAATTGCCATGTCAGAATTATTTTAGTTTCTATTAAAAAGGCTCTGTGTGTAGCCAAGAATGTAGAAGATGGAAGAAATTATTTCTTGCTCCTGCCTCTATGGTACTGAGTCACTTTATTTTATTTAGATTGATTTGCTTTATTAGGAAGACAAAATGACTGAGAGAGAGGGACAGAGTAGGAAAGAGATTCCTTATCTTCTCTTAGGCTTTCTAAATGTTCTCAATGGCCAAGGGCTGAGTGGAGCAAAAGCAGGAGTCATGAACTCTACTTGGATCTCCATTGTGGATAGCAGTGTTACTGCCTAAGATGTTTAAAAAATTGAAAGACCAAAGTTGCAGAGAGGAGCAGAGAGAAAGACATTTTGCTTATTTCTCTTTCAGTACCAACCAGCACATCATAAATTTGGCTGGGCAGTAGAATTACTGTTGGTGAATTCTGCAAATGTACAATGCCAATGTTCACCGCTGTGTTGCTAAGTCAGAATGCTCACGAGGAGAGTTCCCCAAGTAATTCTGTAGACAGTTGTGTACTGATTGAAACAGAGATTGAATAAATTATAAATGGACCTATAATTACTGGTTACAGGACACTGGAATTAAATTTGGAAATTTTAAAACCTGCTTCCTTATTCATAAAAATATGAAAATAAGCTTCTGTGTGTGTTGTTGGAGAATTAACTATAAGCTCCATGTGGATTGCCTGGGCCATTGTACGACACATCATAGGCCATTCATGAGAGGCAGCTAAAATAATTACTATCCTATTTCAGCATAAGTAGAAATATTTGAATCCATGACAGAGTAAAAAATGCAACATATGCACTGATTATTTCTATATGATTAAGAAATAATTTATGGACCTTGATATGTTTAACTAATCTTTCCTAACGCTTTCTTCAGTTCTCCAAAGTCTATGGCCCAGTGTACACTCTGTATTTTGGAATGAAGCCCACAGTGGTGTTGCATGGATATGAGGCAGTGAAGGAGGCCCTGATTGATCTTGGAGAAGAGTTTGCTGGAAGAGGCAGCTTCCCTATGGCTGAAAAAATTAATAAAGGACTTGGTAAGTGTGCCTGAAAATCTCCTCTCACATCTGTGTTTTCCTGCTTGTTATGCATCTCCCTCCTAGTTTATGTCTCCCTTTCTGGCAGGGATCGTTTTTAGCAAAGGAAAGATATGGAAAGATACTAGACGCTTCTCCATCATGACCCTGCGGAATTTTGGGATGGGGAAGAGGAGCATAGAGGAGCGAGTTCAAGAGGAGGCCTGCTGCCTTGTGGAGGAGCTGAAGAAAACCAATGGTGGGTGACCCTTTACTCTGCACTGCTCCCCTCTCTGTGATACTCTTGGAAACACTTCAGGCTGGACAGATCACCCATTCATGACCTGACTGTCACCTTACCTTTGGAGGTGGGGCATTTTGAAACAGAGTGAAGTTTGTGTGTAACTGGTCTCAATATACAGTATGATTGTGCTTCTACTGTGGGTCTAAAAGTTTACATATATACACACAAATACAGACTCCAAGATTTACAATAACCTCTTGTTGCTTGGTGTAAGATATAATCCAGTCTGTTGGTTCACTCCCCTTTCCACATTCCCGCAATAACCAGGACTGGACTGGACCCCTTTAAAGCAATGTACTCAATTTATGTCTCCCATTTGAGTGACATTAACTTAGTTTAGCTACTTGAGCCACCACCTTTTGCCTCCAAAATCTGAACTATCAGGAAGTTGGAATTATTTAGACCCTGGTTTTGACCCAAAGCAATCATTTAAAAACACAAAGTTTCTTAACTAGTATCATAAGCACTAACCCAAACACTTGCCTTTTCTCATAATATATGAATGACTTCAACTTTTAACATTTTTCTTTAAATAGATGAATTTATCGCAATCTGCCTCCTTACTTCCTCTCTATTGACTCAACAGAAAATTTTATTTGTCATTATTTGTAACTATTCTTTATTTTTTCCAGAAGTTTTCAGGCATGTACTATTTTCTCACTCTGATTTCAGATTTTATTGCAGACATAATTTTTTGTTTGAAAACTTGAATTATGTAAAACTTTATTCCTACCCAAATTAGAGATCTCTCATATTAAGGATATATGTAAAAATAATAAACATAAGTTGAGTAATGGAAATATCAGTGTTGATTTTGTGTGCTATTTTTTCTATTCCTCCCCAGATTTTTCAGACAAGACATTGCTGAAAATTTCTAAACTATTGTGAGTAGAACTAAAAGACTTACTGTTATAATTTAATAACTTTTTCTCATATTCTCAGCTTCGCCCTGTGATCCCACCTTTATCCTGGGCTGTGCCCCCTGCAATGTGATTTGCTCCATAATTTTTCATAATCGTTTTGACTATAAAGATAAGGAGTTTATTACATTGATGGAAAAATTAAATGACATTATCAGGATTCTTAGCTCTCCATGGTTACAGGTGAGATCAAATTCTTTTCTTTTTGAAAAAAAAAATCTGTCCTTGTATCTGACAAGTTCAAGGTTGTGTATGGAACAAGCTGTGAACTGAGTATTTTATTTACACTCAGGAAAACAAATCCCCACAAACGAGCCCAGTGTCAAGTCTATGAGGCTCTTGTCCCATGATTATTCCACTAAAATGCAAGTCCATTTCTATAAATTCACTTCAGTAATGGCCAAAGAATGTCTTTGTCTCTTATGGGACACTCAGGCTGTTTGTATTGTTAAAATGTTTATGTATATGTTTTAAATGCAGGATCATAGAAAGGGACAGAGAGAGAGAGAGAATCTCCTATCAGCTAATCCACTGCTTGCATGGACACAATGGTGGGAACAGAGCTAACAGCCTGACACCCCCTGCAATGCTGTCACATAGATTCAGGGTTTGATGGGCTCCCCATCACCTACTGCCCTGCCAGGTACACTGGCAGTAGCACCCAGGACTTGAGATAACATTCATATGGGAAGCTCATGTCACAAGAGATAGCTTAACCTGCTCTGCCACAATACAGATGCCAAAGCCCTGTAAGATGTGGTCTCCAGCAAATCCAGTGGGAGAGAGGGTGAAAAAAAGACAAAAAATATACAGATCTTCCCAATACTACTTTTTCTACCTTTACCTATACCTACTGTATCATTATACATTTAAATATCAGAACGTCAATCTTGTAACTGTTAGGTAAGGGTTGTATTCTTGTGATGATTCAGGGAATAATATTGGGGGTGGTGGTGGGGAAACATGAAGAGATGAAGGGGTGGAGGAAGGGAAAACCCTTCTCTCTAGACAACTCTTGGTAAATAATAGACATTTAATAAAGAGGCATAAAAGTAAAAACAAACAAAAGCAGAAATACATTAATCTTCCATTCACTGGTTCACTTCCAGAATGATCCCTGATGGCCAGGGCCAGGTCAGACAGATGCCAGGAGCCAGGAACTGAAGTGCTGGGGCCTCACAGGCCACCTCTGATGCCTGTCAGCAAGCAGAGTAGCCGAGACCCAATCTTGCTCACAATGGCAAACGCAGACATCCCGAGAAGTGGCTTTACTTGCTGCTCAGTCATGCCCTCATTTACCTTATATTTCAAGTTGTAGAGATGGAGTAATGTTTAAAATGGAAGATTTGTGTGAAAAGGGGTTTTATACTATAAAAATGTGAATCTAGGAAATGACTGCCAAGTTTACTCTTTGGGGCAGGCTTCTCTGCCTGTTTTATAAGCATATAGAACTATCTCACATTTACCCTCTTAAGGTAGACCATATTTTACACATAATTATAATCATAATTCCTAAGTAGGGTTGAATATATATACATACATATATGTATGCGTGTGTGCATATACATATATATGTGTGTGTTTTTTATTAAATAAAGTGTTGTTTTCTATTTTAGGTTTGCAATAATTTTCCTTATTTACTTGATTATCTCCCAGGAAGCCATAACACCTTAGTAAAAAATTTAAATTATACACACAATTTTATCATGAAGAGAGTGAAAGAACACCAGAAATCACTGGATATTAATAATCCTCAGGACTTTATTGATTGCTACTTGATCAAAATGGACAAGGTGAAATATTCTAAGAGTTCATTATTTCGTTGTTTGTATATTTTTAGCTTCATTGGACAAGTGCTTATATCAGTGGTCAACGAATATTTAAATGGTTTGCCTCATTTGACAATTTATCTGCTGTGTGAATGAGTCTTCAGTATCATGAAAAATGTAAGGGTACTTCACAAAAAATGTAAGCAAATGAGGAATTGAAAGAAGTTAATTTTACTGTAAGAGATGGAAGCTAATGCATTTTTCATAATGTATATTTCCATCAAATTTTTAAAGACACATCATATAAAATTGACTTTTTAATGATTAGATTCATGGTCCTCATTTTTTTGAGCTAAACAAGATGCACATCACAGGTGAAAAGCAATGATAGCAAACAATTAAAAATCGCAAAATATCAGCTCTCATGTGAAGATGAACAACATCATTGCAGGCAGTGTAAGGAGGAGGAAGGAAGCACAGCTTAATCTTAGTGCACTTCCTCCATATCTTGAACACTGAAATAGACTGTTAGATATTTGCAGTGATGGACAGGAGGGAGATTTTCAGATTAAGATGAAATTGGAGGTGTGTGGATCTGCAGTGGAAAAGAATAGGTGGCAGAAAGAAATGGACTTATCTGATTGTAATTAAGCAATTTTTAAGATCACGGAGATCAAGGTTGATGTCTACAAGGTAACCTGCGAGCATGGTTTCTTGTCACAGTGCTTGATCTGTGCTTTTATTTAATGATCTATTGCTAGTATACTAGTAGAATTCTTAGATTTTGCTTTTATATAAAAAATAAGGGGAAATGTACTAAACATTACCTAAACAATATGGATTCATTTACCTCAGGTCTCAAATTCAGCAAGTCTGGCAATAGTAGAGTCTACACAAAGCATCACAATTGGGTACCTTGCAATTTTCTATGCCGCTTGTAGTACACAGTTTTTCATGAATAAATCGTCCACTTCCAAGATGATGTCCGCTTTACCTCAACACTGTTTATAGCAAGAAGAAAATAGAAGAAGTGATACTATTAGGGTTCCATTAACATTCTTTTTGTGTGAAAGAAATATGCATAACATTCCTAGCTATAGTCTCTTGAATGAAATTTTTAGTCAACCCCCCCAAAAAAATAAGGGAGCAGCAAATGAAATGTGGCAGGGTTATTGAGGGTTTCTACCATTATCTACAAATGTTTTACTAATACTAAAGTTTCAGATTTTTTCTGTTAGCTGTACGTTTTTAAGCAATGTATGTTATTTTGGATATGCATAATAAAAATGTATTTCAAATGATTTGTAAAATTATATCAATTCATTCCTAGGACAAGAATAATCCACAGTCGGACCTCAGTTATGAGAGCTTGGTAATCACAGTGGCTGATTTGTTTTCAGCTGGCACAGAGACAACCAGCACAACACTGAGGTACTCGCTCCTGCTCCTGCTGAAGCACCCGGAGGTCACAGGTAAGACTGCAGATCAAGAGCAAAGTGGAGTTCAGGAAAGAAGCTGGAAGCTGTAGCTAATTTCTCCCACCTTGTTTGTCCTAGAAATTTTGCTGTTGCTTAAACTCTGTGCCAACAGCTGGTCCTCTACTCATGTAATGACCAGGTCGATACAGGACAACTTTGTCCATTGCAGGAGAAAAGGCAAGAGAAGTAGGGACAGCATGGAGGACAAAGAGCAGTGAAGCTCAAGGGCAGTGTCTGTGTTTATGGGAGCTGTTAACATAGCGGACGCCAGAACGCAAGTTGTCCTGAGATTGTGTTCTGTTTTTGTGTTACAGTGCATGTTTTTCATCTAAATTTCTGAAATCGAGTTAGATATTATGGGCTGTGAGAACCAAACTGTGCAAAGACACATGCTGAAAAATATCCAAATAGGCATTTTGGAACACACAAACACACATATACACATATATTGTAATACAATTTTAAGTCTCATAATATTTTATTTCTGTTTTCCTTTAGGCAAGTGTTTTCTTGATTTGATTGTCTTCTGTACTTCAGACAGATAGCTCCTATTTATTTCAGTTTTTACATGTGCCATTTAATACAGTCATTTATGTATCAATATATCCTAGTGTCCAGCTTTTATGAGAGCACACTGTATCTATTTTATGATAATTTTACAAGTGTCTTTCTTGACATAACGTCTATAATTCTGTTGAAATACCTTCATTATGGTTACTGAAACTCTAAATTGCTGTGATAAATGTGCCAATTTTCTTATTCTCCTCATTATTTCTTACCTTTATCATATCAGCTAAAGTATACGAGGAGATTGAGCGTGTGGTCGGCAGAGACCGGAGCCCCTGCATGCAGGACAGGAGCCACATGCCCTACACGGACGCTGTCATCCACGAGATCCAGAGGTTCATTGACCTTCTTCCTTCTAACCTGCCCCACTCAGTGACATGTGACGTTAAATTCAGAGACTTCTTTATCCCCAAGGTAACATTTCTGTTTCATTGAACCTCATTGCTCTTAAACTCCCTTCCCACAGCGTGGTTCCAATCCCCTGCCAGCACCATGTGAGAGTAGTGCAAAGACCCTGTGTGTGGCAATTTGGCAGACTCATTGCTGCCCCCAGCAGATCTTGGTGTGTCAGTGTGTAGCTTCTAGATTGTTACCTCTTTAGTGTAGTTTTGGCTAATCTTAGGTATTTACATTTCCGAGTAAGTGTCAAAAGTGTCAGTTTGTCATTTTCCCTAACTTCATTTTTTTAATCATTGTGACGTAAGTTCTTTTTAATGAAGTATAGTTTCTTTTCATTTATGAATGTAGTACTGATCCTATTTCTTTAGGCTCTTTTTAACTTTTTCAGTCTTATGTTTAGTATAATGGTTTACAAACCTATGCTATTTTTATTTCTGATAATTAATATTTTTTGTTTTGTTAGACATTTTTTGAAAAACACGTTTCCACTTTACAATATGGCATATTGAAACATAAATAATTTTTTATACAGATGACCCTATATTAAACATTCATTGCTAGTGGTTTATTTGTAGATTGGTTTGTAACTTCTGTGTACTTTACCTCCTATCTGGGTTAATGATTTTTAGTTTTTATTTTCTAACTGTCCTGCATGATGGCATCTGTGTCTTATATCATGAGGTGTTGTCTGTCAGAGCTCTCCAGAACAAAGGTTCTTCTTATGTACAGTTAGTGAAAACCTGTGGTGTATAGCTTTAGGTCTGCATTTATCAATTTTACTTCACAAATCACCAATCAACCTTAAAATGATAATGTTTGGGGCCCGGCGCGGTGGCGCAAGTGGTTAAGGTCCTCCCCTTGCACGCCCGGGATCCCATATGGGCGCCGGTTCTAATCCCGGCAGCCTCGCTTCCCTTCCAGCTCCCTGCCTGTGGCCTGGGAAAGCAGCAGAGGACGGCCCAAAGCTTTGGGACCCTGCACCCACGTGGGAGACCCGGAAGAGGCTCCTGGCTTCGGATCGGCATAGTATCGGCCCGTTGCGCTCACTTGGGGAGTGAATCATCGGACGGAAGATCTTCCTCTCTGTCTCTCCTCTCTGTATATCCGCCTTTCCAATGAGAAAATAATAAAAAAATAAATCTTAAAAAAAAAAAATAAATTAAAAAAAAAATGATAATGTTTGCCTGGAATGAGGATCCTGCTATGACTTACTCCCTAATTTTGATGTTTCTAAATGATCATTTCAAGGTAGAACTAAACTGTGACTTAGTATTCCCTCATATTGTAAAATGAAGAGAAAATACACCATAATTCTATTCAGTAGCTTTGTACTTGCTGCCGAATTTATTTTCATTTCAGAAGAGGTAATTATAAAATGTAAGTTCTGTAAACAGGTCCTCTGGACATTTCAAATGCCAACAAAAACCTCTGCCTGAAGCCACACATGAGCCAGGTGAAAATATATTGAAGTACAACAGCACATGGCAGCAGGAATCAGAGTGCAAACTTAATAAGAATAGTCAAAGGTTTTGACACCCAAGCACCCATGTATTCACTCCTACAATTGGGGAGACATTTTAGCAAAACTAACTGCCACTAGCCTTAAGCTCATTCTGTTCATTATTTGCTCTTTATGGCTAGAAATGTAACTGCTTTCCTTGGACTTGAGTTTTCTCAACTGTGGACTACAGGCTTATCTAAATGATGTCCACTGTTCTTTATAACTAACTTGATCTGCTTGTGTCTGTTTTATGCAGGGCACAACCATCATAACATCACTGACATCGGTGCTACATGATGAAAAAGAATTTCCTAACCCAAATGTGTTTGACCCTGGACACTTTCTGGATGAGAGTGGCAACTTTAAGAAGAGTGACTATTTCATGCCCTTCTCAGCAGGTCCTAAAAATTCATTTCCTGAAATAATAAGAGGAGAAATTATAGTTATTTATTTATTACTTTTAATGCAGAGGTAGAAGAAGGGAAATATAGGCAAAGGAGAGAGAGAGCGAGCGAGCAAGAGAGAGAGAGGTAGAAAAGGAGGGAATGAGAGAGGAAGAGAGGGAGAAAGGGAGAGAGAGACAGAGAGGACGGGAGGGAACGAGAGAAAGATAGATTGATTTTCTCTCTGTTAGTTCATTTCACAAACGGTTACAATGTCCCAAATCCAGGATATGCTGGGTCATGCTGAATCTAGAGGAAAGAAACAAATGTCAGGATCTCCCATGTGTATGGCAGCAGCTCAAGCATCTGAGTTGTTCTATGCTAATTTGCCAGGACATTAGCATGGCACTGTAAGGAACAGGTGCAGCCAGGACCTGAATCAGCACTCATAGAGGATACCAACATCTCAGGCAGTGGCTTAATATACAAAACTACAAAGCCTGCCCCAATAATTAGATAAATTTTGGTTGTCTGGAACTCACCAGGAGCATCCTTAACTGGGTAGAATTCTCCTGGGTCCATACTAAGGAAGAGTGCTCCCAGTGCCTGTGGACTTATCCTGTTCATGATACATTCTCAATACTACTGATGCTCTGTGATTTTGACTCATTTCTTCCACAATGAAGAAACTAAGGAAGAGATTGATGGCAATCCTCACCCACCAAGGTAATAACATGTAACTCCACTACTTCATTGAATGTCTTCTGTGTGGTGTCACTCACCCTGCAGGAACATGTATGAAAATAAATGTGTTTGTGAACACAGAACAGCACTCAAGGGACTCACATCAAGTTAGTCAGCCCACCGAGTAAGCATTTCCTTGAAATCTAGTATTATTAGTTCTGTAAAGAGGTATTCATGGAATGCAGGTTTGTATGGGGAGAATCTATGTGATTTTTGCTGTCTCATACTCTCTGTACTGCACAGAGAAGCAGTAGCAACACTCTAACAATGAAAATGGTTTTTCATCTGCCACATCCAAAGCAAAAAGAATGGATAAAACAGAAGTAGCATGTTATTAAGGATGTAGTGAATTAAGGAGCAGATGGAATTGGGGAACCAGTGGGACATTGTCCCGATATCCTGGAGTGATTTCAGAGCATTGTGCTCTTCCTCTGTCACTTCCTCTATCACTTCCGTAACGTGTTGGATATTGGAACTACCAACCTGCAAAGTTAATGCTTGCCTTTGTCAAGGAGATCTAATGAGCTCTAAAGTCCATTTCATATATTGAACCGTAATACTATGTCAATAGGAGAGACTTATTTTCAAGGCTTACATTTTAGCCCAAGGGGGAAAAAAACATTCTGATTGAAAGTGGTTCATGCTTCAATGAAAAGATAAACGTAATCAGTTTTATTGATCATAATGGGTATTATGTAGAAAGGTAATATCTTGGGCACTGAAAATAATATAAGATAATCACTCTGTTTTGGTTGGAAAGAACAATCTACTAGAATTTGTAACTTTAAACTTGCAGCCAGAGCTAGGAATAGAAGAGTGTGAAGGAAAGATAATGATAGTTGAAATATTAGTGAAGTTCAATTCTTAAATGAACTAGAAATGTACCCTGCTTTCGTTCATCTTTCTGAAAATCACTCCACTTGTTAATGTATATTCATTTACTATGTATTCCGTTTGTGCCCATCAAAAATACAGTGTTTGTTACATTCACAGTTACATGGAGGAACTAGTCATTCTCTCTGTTTACTATTTTTAGGAAAAAGGATTTGTGTGGGAGAAGGTCTGGCCCGCATGGAGCTGTTTTTGTTCCTGACCACCATCTTACAGAACTTCAAGCTGAAATCTCTGGTTGATCCAGAGGACCTTGATGTCACTGCAGTTTTCAACGGATTTGTTTCTGTGCCACCTCCGTACCAACTCTGCTTTGTTCCTGCTTGAAAAGGGCAAACTGGTTGCACTATATTGTGATCCAGTGGATGAAATATCTCATTCTGCTATTCAGATAAATAAAATCTTTAAAAAGAAGACATAGAGTAACCAAAAAATAATTAAATAAATAAAATCAGGATTCAACTATATATTGCTTACATGAAAATCCTTAATATCACTAATATTTAAGTCTAAGACACTCCAGAAGCTTATTAAGGAAAGACAAAAGCAGCATGTGTTGGATGTAGAAAAAATAAAATTCTTACACACTATTAATGAGATCGTAAGTCAGTACAAACACTGAGGAAAGCAGGGTGAAGTTTCCTTTAAAAACTAAAACATAGGATTGCCATGTTTCAGCAGTCCTAATGCTGGGTATATATCCAAGGAAAATGAAATCTGTTTTTCAAAAAGACATCTTTACACTATCATTCAAACAGCAGAGAAATGTCAGCAATCTAGGCTTAACCCATTGATGAATGGATAAAACCATATGGTCTGTGTGAAGAAGGAAAGACCTTTCATTATAGAGAGTTGAATTATTTGTAATAAATGTGGATGAGGGGCACTAGAACATGACCAGCTGTAAGGGTTCTCATAGCAGCCAGTTTTACTTCCAAATTGTTAAACCTTTCTGATAAAGATCATTGTTACTTCCAGAAATAAATACCAAGCTAAACCTAAGCATTTAACTTGTCACCCAAAGGGACTGAAATCAGCATATTAAAGAGCTATGTGCAATCCTGTGTATTTTATAGCTCCATTCAAAATAACCAGGATTTAGAACCAACTCAGATGTCCATGAAATGATGACTAGATAAAGAAAATGTGGTAAATATATATTCATATATGTTAATACATATAATATATAATTTTCATATGTAACATATTTTATGTTTAGTATATATGTATATATTTAGGACATCCTATTTGTATATATATAGGATTTCCCTTCCCATCTCTCAAAATTTCCTCATTTCCACAGATTCCCCCTATATTATGACATTAGTATAGTCCTTTATAAACAGTCACAATTCCATCATTCTGCTTTTTAAGTGCCCTGACATTGCAGCTATGGACAATGGCAGAGAATCCAGGATCCTATTGTCAAGATGTATTTAACAGCTTCATTGGGAGTCCAAGTTTTGATTTGGAAGTAGAGATGCATACTCCATTGTATCTTCACATCTGGAGATGATAGTCTCTATTACACAGTTACTATAACATTCACTGAAATGAAAAGCCACAAAATAAAATCAACAGCAGGAAGAAAGAAAAAACTTTACAGCAACATGAAGTTAAATGATACGCTACTGAATGATCAATGTGTCGCTAAAGAAATGAAAAAGAAAATCAAGAACCTTCTTGAAGAAGATGATGCTTCTGTATGACCTGTGAGACACTGAAGAAATTAATAAGAAAAAAAAACTTTTTTGAAGAAATGAAAATAAAAAGAAAAATTTCAAAACCCCTGAGATGTAACACAAATAGTACTGATCTTGTATTTTGCATGAAGGTTGCCTTATATCAGAGATTGATTTATTTCATTGAGCATAATGGTCTCTGGTTAGGACCATTTGGTTGCAAATGGTATAATTTCATTATTTTAATGGCAGAGGAGTGTTCCATGGAGTAGAGGAGTTTATCCACTCCTCTTTTGATGGGCTTCTGGATGATTTCCATGTCTTTGCTATTGTGCTATTGTAGATAATGCTGCTGTAAATATAGGATTACAGGTCTGTTTTTCATATGCAGATTTCATTTCCTTTGAATATCTTCCCATAATGGGATAGCTGGGTTACACAGCAGTTCTGTTTTCAGTTCTCTCAGCACTCTCCATACTGACTTCCACAGTGGTTGTTCTAGTCTACATGTCCATCAACAGTGAAGGAAAGTATCTTTATCCTCACATCCATGCCAGCAGGTGTTGTCAGTAGAATTCTGAATGCAGGCCGTTCTCTCTGGGGTTAGGTGGAACGTAAATGTGGTTTTCATTTGTATTACCCTGACATCTACCAAGTTGAGCATCATAGGTTAGCAGACTGGATCAAAAAATAAAACCCATCTATCTATTGCCTACAGGAGGTACACCTCACCAACAAAGGTATAAGAAAACTGACCGTAATAGGATGGAAAAAGATATTCCAGGATAATGGAAAGAAAGCATTCTTATATCAGATAATACATACTTTGATATGAATCACATTAAAGGAAATTTTAAAAAATGAGCACTGAAATGTCAGAATAAGTAGTAACATGAAACAAATATTAATGGATTTAAATGGAGAGATAGACTCTGCCACAAATATAGTGGGGGACTTTATATCTCATTAAAATTAATGGACAGATTGGGGAACAGCACTGGATGCTTTGAAAACCTTGAAAAACAAGTAGCTGTAAGACATGAAACTCTTCATGTCTGAGTGAGTACATGAGCTAGTGCCTTTGTGATACAATAAGCACAATCCAATGCCATGAAAGCATGGAGACACAGTGAGGCAGCTACCTGGGGAGAGCCTCTCATTACTCTTGTCCTCTTCCTGCCTTTTCAGGGCAGTGACAGGTCATGAACTCTCCAATTTGTGCTAGGAAATCAATGTATATACCATGGATAGGCCATTTTATACATGTCTACTAGGGTAAATTATGTAGCACTTACTTACATGTTCAAAAGCCTCTGCCCAGCTCCCCTGCACCAGCCTAATTCCTGTCCCTTGTTGTACACCTTTTCTGGATTCGAGTAAGTGAGCTGGCAACACGTAACTTCCTGTCCAACACTTCCTTGTGAATATTATCCAATGTCCTGTGCCTAGGCACCTCATCCTCAGAGATACGCCCTACAATAGCACCCATGTTGTAATTTCCTGAGTTTCTGTGTTGAAAACATCTTTATCACCCATTTCTCAATTTGCTTTGTTGATACAAGGACTTATGTAAATCATCTAATCAATGGGCATCTGGCTGCCCACATAGGCTCCTTCATTCTGATTCCTGTCTCCTGTGTTCATTTTGTGTTACAGCATTAGGTTAACCTGGTGTCTTAGTATATTTGGGCTCTGTGACAAAATTTGTACTGGATGCTAAAAACTCAGGTATTAATTTCTCACAGTTTTGGAGTGGAAAATCCATACTCAAGATGCTGGCAGATTTGACTCTTTAAAAAAAAGACATATATTTTTATTAAAAAGTCAGATATACAGAAAGGAAGATATTTCATCTGCTATTTCACACCACAACAGCCAGAGCTGTGCCGATCTAAAGCCAGGAGCCAGAAGCTTCTTCTGGATCAATGCCATGTGTGCAGGGTCCCAAGGATTTAGGCCATCATTGACTGCTGTCCCCGGCCACAAGCAGGGAGCTGGATGGGAAGCAGAGCCACAGAAACGCCCAGTACTAGTGATGAACTGTGCTTACTCTAGGAGTAGGAAGGATCACTATCTCTCCTCCCCTCCCCCCTCTCCTCCCCCCTCCCCTCCCCTCCTCCCCCCTCCCCTCCCCTCCTCTCCCCTCTCCTCTCCTCTCCTCCCCTCCCCTCCCCTCTCCTCTCCTCTCCTCTCCTCTGATCACTACCACTCACTTAATCTCTTAGAGGTTCTAGATTTTTTTCTACAATTTTTCTCGCAGGTGCACACAAACACTGACAGAGAAAGGGCATATAGGCACACAGGGAGAAGGATGTTGTCTTCAAGGCAAGAAGAAACATCTCAATAAAAGTCAAATCTAGGGTCCTGCATGGTAGCCCAGTGGCTAAAATCCTCACCTTGCATGTGCTGGCATTCCATGTGGGCACCAGTTCATGTTTATTTTTTGATCCAGTGTTGTGCTGGGCTATGTATGTGCATGGCCTTTGTAAGAACTTCTTCCCCTTTGTCTGTGATTATCTGAGGGGCTCTTATCCCTTCCTTCTTTCCTTCCTCCCTCCCTCTTCCTTCCTTCCTTCCTTCCTTCAGTCTTTCCTTCCTTTCTTCCTTCCTTTCTTTCCTTCCTTTCTTTCTTTTTCCTCTCCTCCTCTTCCTCCTTCTTTTTAGTTAGTTCTTTTACTTGTTTAATTTCATTAGAATGTCAGGGAGAGGGTGAAAGAGGTAGAGGTTCAGTCTGATCTACTTTCTAAATGTCCCAAACAGCTAATGCTTGGCCATGCCAAACCCAGCAGCCCAAACTCCATGTGAGCAGGGCTTATGTACTTGAGCCATCACCTGCTGTCTCCCAAGGTGCACATTAGCAGCAGGAGGAAAGCTGTTTCAGAGGACTCAAGAGGAAATTCTCTCCATCATAAGTTTTCCCATGCTGTCTTAATGTCTGCTATTATAATGCTTCTGGCTTTGATTTTATTTTTTTAAGAGTTATCTGGCTATTGGGTGTTTATTGTGTTTCCAAACAGTGTTAGGATCTTTTGCCCCTTTGTTTAAGAATGTCCTTAATATTTTATTGGTATCATATTAAATTATAAATTTGTTTGATAGTATTAATTCTTCCAATATCTATATTTGGAATGCTTTCCCAAGTTTTGTGTCTGTTTCTCTTGTTGGTTTTTTTTTCATTAATGTGTTGTGATTCTCATTCAGGATATCCCAAAATATCTTCAATGATCTATTGTGAATGGGATTGTTCTTTTTTGGATTTGTTGGGAATGAGACTGTTATTTCTAGTCCTTTCTCATACGTAGTGTTATTGGTATATATGAAAGCTATTGATATTGTGTATGTGTTGGCTTTATTGTGCAATTTTACTGAATTCTCTTGTGAGGACAAGCAGTCTCTTAGCAGAGTCTTTTTGCTCCTGTGTTTAAATAATCCTATCATTAGCAGGCAAGGATAACTTCACTTCCCTTTTGCATTTTGTACCACTGTTTCCTTTTTCTTGCTTATTTTCTCTGGCTAAAATTTGCCGAAGTGTGTTGAATAGGAATGGTGAAATAGAACATTCTTTCTGCCTCCAGTCTCGCTGGAAATGCTTTTTGAGTATTGCCTCATTTAATACGATACTGTCAGTGGGTTTGTCACAATGTGCCTTGACGTTGTTGAGATGCTCTCCTTCTATACTCAAGTATTGTAAAGGTTTTATCATGAGTGGCCAGTTCTCAATTTTATGATTAAACTATGGCCACTAAGGTCACTCTCTGATGAAGTAAAAGCTATCCCTCAGTGGGATTTCCAGAGATAATACAGGAATCCGCCAATTAAAAATGATGGTTTTGTTTTCCTACCATCCGTCCAAAGTCCAAAGTGCATTGCAGTGTAGAATGTTGATCAAAAGGTCAAAGATTAGTACAGATTATATAATGAGATGGCCCTGTTTTTATAAGGTCTTTGGATTTTTGCTTTGCATTGGACTTTCACGCACCTTGTCCATGGGTCTTCTAATTATTCTGGTGATTTGTCTTTCTTGTGTGATTCTCCTCTCTTTGTGGAGGCAGAGCCATGGCAAGAGGAAGCTCCCACCTGGCCCCACTCCTCTCCCAATTGTTGGAAATCTTTTACAGCTAAATAATAAGAATATCAGCAAATCTTTAAGCAGGGTAAGTATGATTCATTTTCTCTCAGTTGTAAGCAAAGTCAGTCTGATAACAGGGAAAGATTATGAAGGAAATATTGAGGGTATGCCAAGCCTGTAATCTGTATGCCTGGAAGGATGATGATTGTACAGTGTGTGTGCACAGATGCAGATCAGCTTCTCATTCAGATGCTATGGAAAAAGGTCTTTTTAATGATTGTTGAAATTGAAGAAGCGAGGTAGTAACTGTTCATATTACAACTCCCTTGGAGTAATTAATTTTTATGTAGTCTAATTTATATGAACATGGTTTAAGTTTAAAAATTCTAGTGGGCCTGGCACAATGGCCTAGCAGCTAAAGTACCCCCCTTGAAAGTGCCAGGATCCCATATGGGAGCCATGGGATTCTAATCCTGGCAGCTCCACTCGTCCTCCAGCTCCCTGCTTTTGGCCTGGGAAAGCAGGCAGGACGGCCCAAAGCCTAGGGACCCTGCACCCTTGTGGGAGACCTGGAGGAAGTTCCTGCCTCCTGGCTTCAGATCGGCACAGCACATGCTGCTGCAGTCACTTGAGGTGTCAATCATCGGATAGCAGATCTTCCTCTCTGTCTCTCCTCCTCTCTGTATAGCTGGCTTTGCAATAAAAATAAATAAATCTTTTTAAAAAGTAAAAAAAAAAATGAAAATTCCACTAACTTGGTTCCATATGGGCATCCCATGTGGGCACTGTTTTGCACCTGGGTGTTTCCCTTTTATTCCAGTTCTCTGCTTATTGCTACATAAAACTGCCCAAATTCTTAGCCCCCTGCAACCACATGGGAGACCCCCAAAAAGTTCCTAACTTTAGGTTTTGGACCAGGCAAATATCAGCCATTGTGGCCATTTGAGTGGCAATCAGTAAACAGATCTCTCTCTGTCTTTTCTTCTATCTCTGTAACTCATGCTTTCCCATAAAAAAATAATAAATCTATAAAAAAAATCTATGAAGTTCCTATGATCTTTGCTGCATGAATTAGCCAATGCTGTCTAGGGTACAAGTTATCCACATAGTAGCAACTATCTGAAACTTGAGGAAAGAAAAAAGTCTTTTCTCAAGACAATGTGCTTTCATAGCTCTGTCCTTGCTTACCCTTTCTTCCTGTGTTGGGGACTGGATTTTAGGAGACTGTGTCTGCACTTTAGCTCATATGCTTGTAGCAGAAGTCAAAGCATATATTTGTTGCTCCTACTTCAGTATTGTAATGTAAATATATAATATGATAGTAAGAGCACCAACATATTCTCCATTACTAATAAATGTAGGATCACTGGTGGCAAAATTACCATGTAGAAGAGGAATAAAAATAGATAATTATGAGGTGTACAACATCTGTTTTCTTTTCATGAAGGAAGGAGAAACTCTTTACAATAATAGAATAGCATGAAAAGGTTACTACGGTACTATTATCAAGGACATAGACCCTGTCACATAGTACGACCTTAGTATGGATAAATGTTGGTGGCAAAAATCATAACAGTACTGATGATAAAGTGATAATACTATTACAATTAATCTATGGTCTTAAAAGTTGAACCGTTTTGTGTTGGGTCAATGAATATTGAAATATTTCAATAACATTAAAAGTGTTTCCATCCGTGATCTACATTTAACTTTTTCATTCTCTACCTCTCTTCAAGCTTGCAAAAGAGTATGGACCTGTTTTCACCCTATATTTTGGAATGAAGCCCACTGTAGTGTTGTATGGATATGAAGCCGTGAAAGAAGCCCTGATGGATCGGGGAGAGGAGTTTTCTGGCAGAGGGCCTTTCCCAGTGTTAGACAGAGTTGCCAAAGGGTTAGGTAAGCTTTTGTTTGGAGAACATGCTTGAGTTTGAGGGACACAAAGATTCAATATAGGCTAAAGCATTGAGAAATTATAAACATTTAGAGGAATTTATGACATGCATTTTTTATTTATCTGTGGTGTGTATTCATTCTATATGACATACTTAATGTTTTGTAAAATCTATTCATGTGAAAAAGTGCTTCCAGTAAGCATAAAATTTGCGATTTCAAGCCACCAGACCATTAATGCTGTGTAAATTTTGTCTAAGAACAGATAATTGAAATGATGATCTCTTATTACATAGAAATTAAGAGGAAATGAAGTACACATGAATGATGATGTAATTGTCCCTTCCCTAAATATGTAGCTTCCTGATGTGACCCATGGATACTGAGAGGATATTTTAGAAAGTTTGGATCATATACAAGGAATGATTGTAAGTTTGGTATATTTCCAGCCTTTCCTTCAATTGTGTCTTCTTCTCAAAAGGCCTGAAAAATGTTGGACTCCAATCAAATGCAACGCCTAATGTTAGATATAGCTTGATAAGAGAATTGAGAAGGAACACATAGGCGATGGAGTTTGAAATTGATATTAGATTTTAAGTTAATATGTATGTGAACTATTTTCCATTTATTCCCTGTCAACTTTCCAGTCATCTGCCAATGAATGAAGAAGAGTTTAGTAATATGTAAAATCAGGAGTCCTGATCATAGAATATTGAAAGAAGGCGGCAGGAGAATTAGTTCTCAATGGAAATCCCTTAAGTTAACACTAGTGGGTATAGTTGATTCTTTGCCTGTGTGTCCATATCATTTATTGAGATGAGGATTTTACCTCTAATTCATGACCTTGCCTGATACTCACCATGTGTTTGTTCCTTAAACCCCAACAGGCATTGTATTCAGCAGTGGAGAAATATGGAAGGAAACCCGGCGATTTTCCCTCACAGTTTTGCGAAATATGGGGATGGGAAAGAAAACTGTTGAAGACCGAATTCAAGAGGAAGCCTTGTGTCTGATAGAAGAATTAAGAAAAACTAACGGTGCATACTTTTTTTTTTAACATAATCAACACTAGTGTTTGAGTATTAACAGTAGTTAAAAATGATACGGCAGCTCAAATACAACAGAAATTCACTTTACTTCACATAAGAGGGGAAAGAGTTGAAGCAGTTGGCACAACAGCCTTTTTAGAACCCTATCGAGGGACCCCCTTGATATCTTCCACATTGGGCTTCTTGTGTTATGTACGGTTCTTGCCATTTCTTTGGTTAAGTGTGAGTAGTATTTAGACCAGCAGTGAAAGTGGCACAAAATAATTCTATCATATTCATGAGCCATAGTTTTGTTACTGGTGTCATACTTATGTGTAAGAGGGTTTGAGAAATATCACCTATGAGCCCAGAAAAAGATATCGTGGTTGTTTCAAGTCCTAGCTAGACTCCCCCTCAAAAATTAGCTAGGACTTGAAACAATACTAGTATGGGAACACTAGTATAGCTAGACTCCCCCTCGACTGTAGTTATTGTATTTTCACCTCTAGGTCAAGCAGTCTGTTAAGCAGTTTGTGAGGTACTATTTTTCCTTCATTTTGGTGGGTGGTTTGTTGGCTCTAATGTTTTGGCTCTGGCTTTTTATTTTGCTTTCAGCGTTTTAAGTATGCCTTCTTATTTTTTGTCTGCTGAGCAATCTGTAGATACTCTAGTGGGAATTACACATGGTACTTTTCTCTTGCTAATTTTAGAAATCTGTTTGTGTGGAACTTTTGACAATCTATCATATGCCTTGCAGAGGATCTTTGAGTTTCATTGATTTGACAGTTTATGAGCTTGACACATCTGGCTCTTCCCAACTCTACCAAAATATGTAAAGTATTCGATTATCTGCAGTACTGCATTAAAGCTGCTTTCTATTTTTCCCCATCTTTTCTCACTTAACTGTTCATAGTGTGTGAAGTATTTGTTGGTTTAGTGGTATTCTACAACTCCTAAAAGCTTTCCTCACGCTCGTTCATGCTCTATTATTATTTTTTGCTCCATGACATTTCAGAACAGTGTCCTAGGGCCCAGAAAATCTCTTGTCTTCTCAGTATAGTCATGTTGAATATTTCATTAGTACCTTTTATTTCAGGTATTAAAATCATGCTGCTACGGGACTTCTATTAGTTTTTCCTTCTATTATCTATTTCTTTGTTGAACTCCTTATCCAGATTCAGGAATGTCTTTTTGATTTCTTCAGTTTTCCATCTAATCACCTTACATGTCACTGAGGTTCTTTAAATGATTTCTTTGAGTTCCATTTCAGGTGATTCAATTTTTTTTTTCTCTGATGTCAGGTATCAGAGAATTGCTGTATTTATTTGGTAGTGTCATTTATCCCTGCTCTTTTATGTGGCTTAAATTCCTTCTTTTGGTAAAGAATGGAGACCTTGAGTTTTCTTTTTCTCTGTTTAAGGTTAAGTCATTCATATGTTAACTGAGGGAGAAGATATAGATGATAATATTTAAGATCTTTAAAATATATCATTAGCAAACATCAAAAGGTGGAATAATTTTTATTATATATAGAAGTCTATTTCCAAAGCTACAACATAGTTTTTCAAGTATCCTAATATAATCCTTTCATTATTTTCTTCTTCAAGGAAAAATATACTTTGTTTTCAATTTTAAAAAAAACACTGACATTCATTTATTGATTTTTACTAGGGCATTCTGTGCACTTAATAAGAGTATTCACACAGAACGTTAACTTCCACAATTTAAAAATATTTTAATGACTTCCTTTCAAATACTTTCCTTTTTGTATATTTTTAATAAATGAAAAAGGATGTGAATAAGGAACTAATTAGGGGAAATTAACAAATAAACTTGGATGGCACAGATAGTTTTTTGGGGTATTGTGATTTTGTGGCAGACATATGGAGTTTATATTTATGATAATTTGTCAAGGTAATCACCATTCTCAACTAAGATTGTCAATTTAAAATCTATGGGAACTGTGCACTAACTTTGACTCTATTTTCCTTAGGAGCTCCCTGTGATCCTGGCTTACTTCTGTTCTGTGTTCCCTGCAATGTGATCTGCTCCATTATTTTTAACAATCGTTTTGACTATGGTGATGAGAAATTTCAAAGCTTGATTAAATATTTTCATGAAAACTTTGCACTTTCAGCCACTAGGTGGATACAGGTAAAGTGAGGATGTCTTTAAATAAAACATTATTTTATATCAAGTCAAGGTGTGCTAAATAATGTTTTTCGAAGTAGTACTTGCAAGCAATCATTAAGTTATCGAATCAGTTTGGTGCAAGGAAATATCATTGAAGGCATAAAGTAGATGAGAAGGAAAATAACGTATCAGAATCTTTCATTTACAATAAGATGTTTTTGAGACTTTTTCTTAGTTTTTATTTAAAGGGAAGATGTGTAAAATTTCTTTTTTTTTTTTATTAATTGCATTGCATTATGTGACACAGTGTTATAGGCACTGGGATTCCCCCCACCACTCCCCGAACCCTCTCCCCATGGTGGATTTCTCCACCTTGCTATATTACCACAGTTCAAATTCAGTTGAGATTCTTTCATTGGACGTATTTACAAGCATTAAAGAATTGTATGAGCTAACAAAACTCCATGGAGTTCAAAAAGTGAAACATGTGTTTTAATGTGGGAAGACTCCCAAAGATAGTCTACACTCTGGTTATCTGGATCAAACTATGAGTACTTGAAACTATTTAGAATATTCTTTAAGGCAATTGAGGCAAACACCAATCTACATATGAAATCTCTACTTCTTCTCTGTAAGTTCTTTGATTCATAGTAACATCTTATATAAATTGATTTGGTGATGATTTTAAGTCACTAAGATGTTGTCTGAAGCAATGTCAGGTGAATGTACATGTTCATGTGGAAAGAAAATACTAAATATATACTAAATATACTAAATATATACTAAATATACTAAATATAACAAACTAAGTAATGTAGGTACTGCCTTAGTCTCTGATGCACCGTTTTTTTTTTTTTTCATTACATCAGAAGAGCATGAGTACTAAGTTTTTAGACAGTTCCTTGGAGAAATATGCATAAAATTGGCTCCTAGCTCTGATACCACTAGATTGTCTTTGAACTGTTGGCTGGCTTTTGTGAATCTCAGTATTCTCATGTGAACAGAGAAGGCACCAAGACAATTCCTGAATCCCTTCAGATGTGGCTGGAAACTGAACAAAAAGTGGTCTTTTTTTTTTTCTTTACCGTATCCTTCAAATTACCATGTTCCACCGCAGAAAGCAAGTCCAACTCATCTTTATCAACTCAGCACACAGCAAAGTATTTGTGACACATAACAAGAGACTGCTGTGAGCTGTTTAAAGTGAACTAACAAAGAATTCTGTCATCTTTCAGCTCTACAACAGTTTTCCCATGTTACATTATCTCCCAGGAAGTCATCACCAGTTATTTAAAAACGTTGCTGCCCAGATCAAGTTTATTTCGGAAAAAGTACAAGAACATCAACAATCTCTGGATGTCAATGATCCTCGGGACTTTATTGACTATTTCCTGATTAAAATGGAAAAGGTAGAATGGGATTTGGGTTTTCCACCTTATATTGTGGGTAATAAGATTCAGATGAACAAAAAGCTACCTCATGAAGTTTTGTTTATTCCTTGTGCAAATGTTGACATGTTTTAAAATTCTAGAAGGTATTATACTGATAATGTAAAAACCAGTTTCTTATTTGGTGGCAAATGGAAAAAGCACAAAACACAGAGACATATATATATATGTATATTTTGCTGAACGATAATAATATGTCTTTGTAAATAAAATAAGTTCCATGGATAGAATATGTAACAAAGAAAATTAATTTCCTAAATGTGTTTGTTATGTGTGATTATTTTGTGTTAACACCGATGACTTTAGTTTATCATGAAATACTCATATGTCTTTGCTAGGAAAAACATAAGGAACAGTCTGAATTTACCATGGAAAACTTGCTCATTACTGTATGGGATGTGTTCAGTGCGGGCACAGATACAACGAGCACCACCATAACTTTTGGACTCTTGCTCCTGTTGAAGCATCCTGAGATTGCAGGTATGGTCATCGATGTCAGACAGGATGAATTTTCAGATAGAATTAGAAGAAAGCATTGATACCTGTACTAACCTTCAATCACTAGAGAATGAGCAAGGAAAATATCTCAGGGCTTAATTAATTAATTAAAATTAGATCATCTATTAAACATGGGATAGAGCTGACAACCCCACAACCAAGCCTGGAGGGCAGAGAACATTCTTCTGCTGTGACAAGCTGCAGAATCCCTGATCAGGGTCAGGAGGGGTGTAAGAACAATACTGCTTTTAGGAGCTGGAGAGAGAAATTTTCCCTCTTTCCCGGAAAAGATCTGGCTTCATAGTCTTCTGTGAGTCTTCAGATAAGTATATATTTTTAAATAGTATTTCTAGCCAGATGCACTCACAATTAAAATGTTTCCTAGACAGAAAACCAAACTCAGTTTCCCAAAAAGGTTTCAATCTACAGTAAATTATTTTTATATAACCTTCTTGAATGACTTTGCACAAAATTTCACTTAAAAGCTTATTTTAGTAAATACAACTTTTCTTTATTTTTGACATTTTTTACTAAGTATTCATGTCATCCAATATTTCTTCACTACAATAACATGTTTTGTTGTTTGGAGCGCTAAGACACTAACACTATGAAGTTACTTCCCTGATATCAACTTTTTTTTTACTTTGAAGTTAATCGTTAATTATTTTTTGCTTTTTTAAAAAGAGTTATTTCATTTTTTTAACTGGAAAATCAGATAAAAAAGAGAAGAGACAAAGAGAAATATCTGCCCACTGGTTTATTCCTCAAGTGGCTACAATCCCCGGAGCTGAGCTGATCTGAAGCCAGGAGCCAGGAGCTTCTTCTAGCTCTCTCACATGGATGCAGAGTCCCAAGGCTTTGGGCCATCCTTGACTGTTTTCCCAAGCTACACGCTGGGAGCTGGAATGGAGCAGACAGGATATGAACCGGCACCCATATGGGATCCTAGTGCATGTAAGGCAAGGATTTAGCCACTAAACTATTGTGCTGGGTCCCATGGATTGCTTTTAAATACAATCTAGAAACACATCCTCAAAAATTTCTTTGCTGGATCCTATACGATGTAGTATTTAGATGCCCCTCTCACAAGACATAGCCTCCCTTGAACCAAATAGCCACACTAGCTTTTCAAAGACCTAGGGTGATTATGACTGAAAACAGTAATACAGAAAAACAACAACAACAAAACCAGGATTAGAGTCTTGATACTGGTTTTATGATAACAGTTTTATGTGTTTATTGTAAGACTCATGAGGCTCACTTCCCATGAGCTTTGTATCTGCCTTGGAGCTACAATTCTGCTTCATTTTCCTGTTATTGGATAGAAACACTTAATTTATCCACTTCATGTATCATACCACAGTGTGATATTGTGTAATCTATTAAGAAAAATTGACTTTAAATCCAACGCCTGCCCTGCCAGCTAAAGCCCAGGAAGAGATTGAGCGTGTGATCGGCAGACACCGGAGCCCCTGCATGCAGGACAGGAGCCGCATGCCCTACACGGATGCTGTCATCCATGAGATCCAGAGATACGTTGACCTGGTTCCTAATAATGTTTCCCACGCAGTGACTCGGAGCATTGAGTTTAGAGGATACCACATTCCAAAGGTGATATGCATTTTTTCTTCTCTTCCTCAAGAATCATAGGCTTTCAGTTGTTGCAGTAGTAGTTATTGATTGCCTAACCTTCCAGGTAGTTTATACTATTGTAGAAGTGTAATGGTACTAACTACCACAGATACAAGATTTTAAGTACACAGATAATTCCACACTGCTTGTCCACTAGTCTTTTTTTCTATCTCTGTTTCCAGTGTCAGACTTTATGACTCCTAACAGTTAACCAGTATGATATCGTCCTGCTTTCTTCCTTACTACCCATCTAACATCTTCATTTATTTGTAAAACATCCAGTTCAATACTCTCCTGCCTCCCTACTGTGTTAAAGAACATGCAGCCCAGGGCCTGGCGGCCTGGTGGCCTAGCGGCTAAAGTCCTCACCTTGAACGCGCCAGGATCCCATATGGGTGCTGGTTCTAATCCCAGCAGCTCCACTTCCCATCCAGCTCCCCACTTGTGTCTTGGGAAAGCAGTTGAGGACAGCCCAATGTTTTGGGATCCTGCACCCACGTGGGAGACCTGGAGGAAGCTCCTGGCTTCGGATTGGCACAGCACCTGCCATTACGCTCACTTGGGGAGTGAATCATCGGACAGAAGATCTTCCTCTCTGTTTCTCCTCCTCTCTGTATATCTGACTTTTCAATAAAAATAAATAAATCTTTAAAAAAATAAAAAACAAATGCAGCGCAACAGATTGGTATTGTTACCAACCCCAAGGTACTCTCGGTTTCAGAACAGTACTTAGAGATGCTCTTTTTCTTTATTAGAAAGTCGGGCATACAGAGGGAAAGAAAGACAGGAAGATATCCGAAGCCAGGAGTCAGGAACTTCCTCAAGGTCTCCCATTCAGGTGTAGGGTCCCAAGGCGTTGGACCGTCCTTGACTGCTTTCCCAGGCCACAAGCAGGGAGCTGGATGGGAAGCATGGAATTAGGATTAGAACTGGTGCCCATATGGGATCCCAGCATGTTCAAGGCGAGGACTTGAGCCGCTAGGCCATGGCACTAGGCCCAATATATTAGTGAAGTTTTAATAACAATAATAAATCTTAGGAGAATTGAAACAGTACTCCCACCTTTCAAGAATATATGACAATTTATTTAAAAGAACACTAGTGGGAGGAATCTGAGGGGAAATCCCTGTGCATATGGGACCAAGTTACAAAAAATAAAATAATAAATAAAAACAAAACAGAATATGAGACGCAAAAACAGTATAAAATATATCCACATTTGATGTTTGGACTTTTATTCGCTTTAAGTAGTGTAAAATTGCTAAACATTTAACAGGAAGTATGTTGTCAATTTTTCTTGTTCACAGGAAAGAGATATATATTAGAATGTTTAACCCGTGGTGCCACAATTCCAGCCACTGATTGATTTTATTCAGTTATATGGAACAAGTAAATTCCTTTCTTGATGTTTCTTTCTCAACATGTTTAAATCAATTGTTTAGATCAGAATTTTCCGATTTTAGTTCAAGTCCTCCTGTTACAACTCTGCTTGTATGATTGTCTATCAGGGCACAGAAATATTACCATCTCTGACTTCTGTCCTGTATGATGACAAAGAGTTTCCCAACCCTGAGAAGTTTGACCCTGGCCATTTCCTGGATGCAAGTGGCAATTTCAAGAAGAGTGACTACTTCATGCCTTTCTCCACAGGCAAGCAAACTTTCTTTTCTCTAGATTTAACTATTATTGGAAAGGGAAATTTACAGAGAAAGCAAGAAAGAGAGAGAGAAATCTTCATCCACTGATTTATTCCCACTAATGGTCATCATGGGAGTAGCTAACATGCTTGTAGCCAGGATCCAAAAGCCACTCATGGGTCTGCCTTCTGGGTTCAGGGTCCCAAAGATCTCAGCCATCCCACACTATTACCCAGGCTACACGTATGAAGCTGGTTTGTAAACAAAACAAACAGGATGTAAACCAGTGCAAAAATGATATACCAGCACTTGCAATCAGAGAATTAGCTAGATCCACTAAGGGCCAAGGTAACATTCCTTTTCATCTCCATGGCAGATGAGATGAAGTTAGACTTTTCAAGCAGGCTCCTCTGAACTTGCCATGAGGATAGAGGAGCTGCCTTTTGCATGAGTTGGAATCATCACTTCTAAGGCCCAGGCAGTTTTTCCTTGGGATGCAGGCAGCATTCAAAGTGTCTGCTTCCTGATGAATTCTGAAATTTTCAAACTCCTAGAATACCAGTCCTATCAAGGCTCTCCTCATCAACTCCTAGAAGCCAGTTCACTCAGTACAGTATCCTGAGCTTGCCACATGTAGCAATCCCTTGCACTCATTCAAAAATAGCAAAGTGAGTGGGAAACAAGTGCCTCCTATAAGAGAAAGAGGAACAATCAGACTATGTGACTCAAGCATGAGGAATGGTTTATGGAGGCTCCAGACTTAGGCAAAGTATGCACTCAGAAGCAAGCATACTTGTTCATAGGGAAATTGTCATGGAGAAAGTAATGCATTTGAATCATCCCTCAATTTGTAAGAGATCCAGGAAGAAACAGTTGCCATAGTTATTAAGATTTAAATGATCAGTTTACTGAACAGAGTTTCTTTAGATGGGGTTGGGGAAATGGAAGTAAAGATGCGGAGAAGCAGTGAAGACTCATTCCATGAGGAAGATGAACCCATCCTGGTTCTGTAGGGTCACAGGAAGGAGGGTGGCCCTGAAACCTGGGTAGACCGTTAGCTCAAGGGAGTTGATGTCTTCCAGGAGATGAATCTTTGTGAAGATGAATATGGACATCTTCACAATATGGATGATAGGGTTGAGAGAGTAAATAGTCTGGCCTTTCTAGAATCTGGTCTTCTGAATTGATTCATAATCCAAAGGGGAAATTATATCAATGTTATCAATGTTATGTTGGCTGTGCACAGTAAGGCTAAAATGACAAATACAGGCGCATCTAGACAGAGATAGAATGGAGAGTTTTCAGTATAATCCAAAAGAAGACTAATAGGCAGACTGCAAGGTGAGGACTTTTTCTACATAAGTAACTGAAACATTAGCAGAAATAAGACTTTTGCTCTTGACTGGGAAAAACACAAATTTCTCTTGAGAGACCTTTCATAGTGCAGTCCCAGGAGTGCGTGCAATGTTTGTAGATGATCCCTAACAAGCCACGGCTTATCCATGCCTTTTCTGCCTACCTTATTTGGAGCCAGACCAACTTTTGTCCTGATCCTTTTGCTATCATTGAAAGCAGATTTTTGCATTTTTCCTTAACATATCTACTCCAGGAGTCAGATTAGTTACTTTTAAACATTTTAACATTTTACAATCAACATTTAACATTTTAAACATTTACATTTAACATTTTACATTTATCGTTTTAAAATGTACCATAGTGGTTATATCATTGATTTGTTGAATAGGTAAGGTAGGTGTCTGTATACCAATGGTGCATTATAGATATTATAATGCAATCTATGATGCCTGGGTTGAATCAAAAACCGTATGCAGTTTATCTAGCAGTGGGACACAGGGGAACAGCTCTCCCATTAAAGGAAGCATAAGAGTCTGAGATAAACTGCAGGTGGCCAGTATATTTGGTTTCTGGTGCATGGTCAGTAACTGTTGAATGTGGAGGAGCTGATGGAAGGAGTCAAAGGGCTAGAGCCTCCTGGATGGTTTGGGGGGATTTCACGGACAGGTTCACATTTCCAATTCAAAAATACAAAGTGACTATAATGAATAAAACTAATAATGTTCCTATCACATGAAATAATACATAAAAATACATAAGATTCTTTCTAAACTATTCAAATTAGGGCAAATAAAAATAAAATAGAATGAGAAAAATGTGACTACATATGACTTTTATAAGATATGGCTTTTGTTTCTGATACTTCTATATTTTGTAAGCTTTTGAAAACTGTTTCATTGGGTGTGTGACAAGACTGAGATATGCTTCTGAGTACAATTGTGTGGAAAATAAAGCTGTTGTTGTATTTTGGGTCAGAGGTGGAAAAGCATTGTGTTTACATCATGCCAATTTGGATGTGTGTGTGAGAGTGTGTGTGTGTGTGTGTGTGTGTGTGTGTGTGTGTGTGTGTGTAAGTGTGGGGGTGTGTGTAAAAAGGAGCACTGGCAAGCCTCAGCACAGTAGTCCTAAGGGGTTGCACATAATATATTTATTCCCAGGACATATACACATTAACACGTGCTGAGGAAATGAAGCTACCTTTCTGTCAAAGCAGAAGTGAATTTGATCATCAGCTTCTAATTAGTATCTTTATTGATTTCACGGTTATCTGTGTCTACTATGTGTATCGTTAATGTTGTGTCTCTTTTAGGAAAAAGAGCTTGTGTGGGAGAGGGCCTGGCCCGCATGGAGCTGTTTTTAGTCCTGACCACCATCTTGCAGCATTTCACCTTAAAATCACTGGTTGATCCAAAGGATATCGACACCACTCCAGTGAATAAAGGGTTTATCTCTGTTCCACCCTCCTATGAGCTGTGCTTTGTTCCCATTTAAAGAAAATAACTGACCCCATCCGAGCAAGTCAAATGGTTTCAGGCATGCGTCATGTGTTACCCATCCTCACCATTGAGAAGACCTGAGAAGAACATCGCTAAGCATGTCTTCTCAAGTCTTCTGTCCCTCAAACTCCATTTGTTGATTTCACCAATGCATAAAGGCACAGTTTCATCCTCAATAAAATTCTCCTGATAATAAAACCTGGAATTCATAAATTGCATTGCCTTGGTGGTGTGTACCTAGTGAAAACACATTATAACTTCCATGTTCTATTTTATCAACATTAAGAATGAGGAAGAATGTTTGCAGCCCAGTAGTTAAGATGCCTTCAGGACACCCACATCCTGTACTGATGCCCTCAACCCCTGTTCTCTTTCAAGTAAATAGGTAGATGTTTTTAGCAAGAGGAAGAGAGAGAGAGACAGAGATCATACAATTGCTATTTCACACCCAGGATCCCAAAAGAGCCAAGAATTGGGCTTTGCAAAGCTAGAAGCCTGGAATTTCATTAAGGTTTCCTGTCGCTGTCCTGCAGCGATGGACTTGGTGCACGAAGCCCATAATAACACGCGTGGACCCTGACTGATGATCAAAGCCGAAGTTTATTACTGGCATCAGACTTTATACACAGAGGGTCCATGTGGGATAAGGGAGGAGGTATTGAGCTTATCAACAAAACCCATCAACTATTTCTATACTTTTGTTTGGAACTCCTTTTGTTTTGTATATTCCACCAAGTGTTCTCATACACACGCTGTCCTCTCAACTGTTCTTATACAAATGATATCCCATCAGGTATACAAAGGTAGCCATTTGGTTGTTCTCATGCAAATATTATCTAATTAATTGTAATCCTGTGCTCGCTGACCTTCTAAGAGTCACAATGTCCTCCTACAGTATCCCACTTGGGTTAGAGGCCCATACACTCAAGCCACCTCTCACTTCTTTTCTAGTAAAATTAGCAAGTGGCTGGATTGGAAGTACAGCAGTCAGAGCTTGAACCAATGCCTAATTGGGATGCTGGCTATAGAGAAGGCAGCCTAAGCCACTGTCTCACAATGCACTCTCTCAGTCTCCTTTAGATGCACATTCTGGAGAGCAGCAACTGGTGGATCAAATCTTGTGAAGCTGACTGCCTGATCTCTAGCTCATCGATTTAGCTTACCACCACTCTGGCTAATGCTGGCATTCAAATAGTAACTAGAGAAGTTAATCTACCTCTGTATGTCTGTAACTCTAAAATTTTGATGTTTTAAATAAATGAATAAAGATATTTAACATATAATCATACTGTTAGAATAGTTACAAAGCATGTCATCAGAAAAAAAAATTTACTTGGGCCCGGCGGCGTGGCCTAGCAGCTAAAGTCCTCGCCTTGAACGTGCCAGGATCCCATATGGGTGCTGGTTCCTTTCTAGAGGCAGAAAGGAAGATCTTCTGTCTGAAATTCACTCTCCAAGTGACCACAACGGCTGGTGCTGCACCGATCCAAAGCCAGGAGTCAGGAACTTCTTCCTGGTATCCCACATGGGTGCAGGTTCCCAAGGCTTTGGGCCATCCTCGACTGCTTTCCCAGGCCACAAACAGGGAGCTGGATGGGAAGTGGAGCTACTGGGATTAGAACCGGCGCCCATATGGGATCCTGGCACGTTCAAGTTGTTAACAGAAATCAACAAATATTCCAGAAGGAGTGGTAGTGAGCTTTACAGTTTTATGTGTTGTTTAGGCAGAGATCCTTAACTCCCAAACCGGATGAGTAAACACCAAAAAGATAACCATGCGACATTCTCACAGGTACATTGAAGCAAATCATGGAGAAAATAATACACTTAAGTTATTAATATAGAAAATGATAATAACCAATTTAAATTTATTTGTTTCAGGAATGCAAGATTTGTCTGGGTTTTGAATATCAATGGCATCAGTTTGTTAGGGTCATGAATGAGTAACAATCATGATGATGAAAAATAATTTCAAAAACTATTTTGAAAATAGTTTCTTATACATTTAAGTTTAGATTTAATTTGAATTTCCACAATAAAAGCTACACAGTGCACATATTTATTTTTTTACAATTTCTTCAAATGCTAGCTTAGACTAAAATTGTTTGTTTGTATTGTATGTAAAATTTTATTTCATTATAAATTCTGCAATATTGTGAAGTGAATTCATATATATGCTAACTTTTCTGTCATGATTATAAATCAAGAAAGAATAAGACCAGAAAAGGAGTGATGGTTTTAAGGGTGTGACCTAAGCAGAGCTTTGGGCTTGCAGCTCTGAAATCTCCAGGGCTTGCCAAGACAGGAGACACAGGAGTAAGGTGATCCTGCAGCTTGAGTACAAGATCGCCTGGAAGTAGAATTCATCCCTTCAGGAAGGACTTGCTTTGGTGCCTAAGCTGACACTGCTACATTCCTTGACATCCCACTTAAGTATCCGTGTAATCTCCAGACATGAGTATTCTCATTTAGATTTCATGAATGTGGAACCTATCCTTCTATGCTCTTCTGTTTCTTTTGTCCCAGTAGGACTTGTTTTTGACAATGGAAAAATATGAAATTCAACATTTCCCCTCACAGTTTTGCAAAACATGGGCATGGGGGAAAAAACTATAGAGAACCAGATTCAAGAGGAAACCTTGTGTGTGGTAGAAGAATTTAACAATAAATTAATAAAACAATGTGTATTTTCCTTTTTTATAATTAGAAGGATAATTATGTTTTCAAGGACTGTTGCAGTGGCTCAAGCACAATAGAAAAAAAATATTGCTTTTGCTGATGTAAGGGTGGTAAATGATGAAGCAGTTACCATAATGTTTAGGGAAGAGACACATAGGGGTTTCCGCATCTTTGCCATTGGATTTTTAGTATAATAAAGGCCCATCTCTTTGTGAAGTTGTAGAAGGAGTAAAAAACAAACGCACAATAGCGTATAGGCCACCATACATGGAAATGTCACATAAAACTTTTGTCAAATCCATGAGAGAAATTGTAACAGCTCCAAGCACAGAAAGATAAAGACAACATCGATTTTTATAATGAGTTTACAGGTTTCAATATGTGAGGAATAGGAAACAGAATAACCTGGCTGTCACTGTCGGGGTAGTATTTTAGGAATGCTTCAATTTTCTAATGTGTGGGTTCGTATTTGGCGCACATGGAGCATGGGTATGAAGGGAGGAAGTTCTTTCTCAACAATCTCCTTAGAGTCCAGATGTGTACACACCAGCTGCTCTGAAAAGCAGCTTAGAGTCCAGATGTGTACACACCAGCTGCTCTGAAAAGCAGCTTAGAAAAAAACAGTGAGAGCAAGAGTCCTTTACCAAAAAAAGGCATAAAAACAGAAGCTTAAAATCCATGTTGTTTTAAAACATTTTTTAAACTATTACAGATACATGGGTTTTTAGAATATTTTAAAGTTAGTATTATTAATTATCTTGTGGTACAGCTCCATAGTCTCTGGGATTTCTTTTCCCCTTTCCCAAATCTCCCCCTCACTGATTTCCCCATTTTGAGACTAGTATAGTCTTTTACAAACAGTCATAAGTCTGTCATTCTCTCTCTTTCCCTCTTTCTCTCTCTCTCTCTCTCCTCCTCTCTCCTCTGAGCATAACATTTCCTTGTGGAAATCTGGAGGCCAGGGACTGGCCTCTGATCAGAGCCAGGTCTCTGATTAGGAGCCAAGATGTGGCTCTGAAATTCTCTTCCTCCCTTTGTTTATGTTGCAAGCAGTGGGTGAGGGCCAAAGGCTGACAGCCAAGCACCCAGCTCTAGTCACCTGGGAAGACTGCCAGCCAGGCTGTCCCACGTGATTGGACCCTGTCCTCCATCTTGCCTTTCTTCTTCTGCCCTGCCTTTCATAGTCTCCCTTCTGAAGGTGGTATGCTGTCTCATTTCTTCTTTCCCCACTCAGAGATCTGAGCTGCCAAAATCACTTCTTCTGACCCCAACTGGGGTTAGACTGTAAAGGAATCCACTCATAGTCTTTCAACCGTTGCTAACTCTACATGTCACTTCAGAGTAATGACGATTCTTCTCACTGCGGGTGACAGGTGAGTGTAAACTCTTTTCCAATCTCTCTTCACTTTTGCTCTTGGGCGTTATCCTCGCAAAATCCCTGACTCAAGGTGCAGGGATTCCAATGACCAACCTAGAAAACTCCTGCCAGACTCTGATCTCTTGTTCCTCTCTTGCCCAGCCACCTCATACACTTAAACTCTAGCTCTTTCTCCTGGAAGCAGGAGTGACTGCTCTTCCAACCCTCCTTCCTCACAACTCCCTTAAATGCTCTTTCTGTTTAAACCAGCTGCTCCCTGCAGATTTAGTTACCCTAAAGGGCAGCTTAAGCATTTTTTTTCCTCTCTTTTGCAATCTGGTATGTTGACTCCACCCTGTACCCTTTAGTCAGGAAGGGGAGGAGTAGGATGCAGACCAATAAACATGACTTTAAAACATATTGATTTGTAACTGCCAAAGAACCGGATCAGCAATAAAATATCTGGTGTTTAAAAAAAAACCAACAAATTGCTTTGTTACTTGCTGACCTTGTTTTGTAACAACAGAGCACATCAAAAACAATGGATATTCAGTTTTTGTTATAAACATCCCCGAGTGAATTTTGCAGTTAAAAAATTTGATGCAAGTGAGATAAATGCTTTGTAAATGTAAACCTAAGCATTCAGCCTCTAGTTCTATGAGCAATGCTTGTGTGTGAATAATATTACTCTTAAAATATTGTTTACGTCATTCTCTAGAATTGTAGCATTAATATCAGATAAACTGGAATAAAATTGGAATCTAGCCTTCTCTTAAGTGGTTCCAAGTTATGAAATGTGAATCCATGTGCTGACTTTTTTTTGTTTCCATTTGGTAACATACCAGAGACACAAACAGAGGTAATCTGTATGTTCCTTGTGTCGCATTAAGTTCTCATTGCTTAAACACAACAGAAGTTATGTACTTGTTCTAGAAGCATCTGAATAATCACTTTATGTCAATTAAGTTTGATGTATACTGTGTCATGTAAAGACATCCTATTTCTATCGGCTATTTTAAGCCTGCTTGGCATCCTTGACAGGCATTCAAAACTCAAAAGTCTCACATTTTTTAATTTTGGCATTTTCAGTGAGACCTCCTAGAAATGTCAAAAGATTTATATTTCATTTTGTGGAGACAACAACTGATTAGGCTATTTGGAC